TCATGAATAACGTTTATTATGGACTAAACTTGCCAAAATTTTTGAAAAATAACGTTTTACAGATGATAACATAGTGTTTTGAGGAGCTTGTAAAGTTTTACTTTCGGCTGGAAGTCCCTTCGGTTTGAAGTCCCGTCGGCTTGTTGCCCCCTTTGGTATCTACAAAAGAAATGACACACTTACAAATAAAAACAGTAAAAGCACAAGAGCCCTGATCTCACTTCAGTACTGTCCCACTTGAGTGTTTTGGATGATATTAAAGTTTAGTTCGGAACTAATCTTTCCTCCTGATCTTTCACCTGATTTTTGATTACCACCATCGAATTTCTTGCCTTTGAACAATAATTTACTTCTCACGTCTCTTACTTAGTGTCTTGGCCGCTGAAAAAGTTTTTTTTTGGGAAGAATTCGATTGAGAGGGCAATCCCTTCCCTTGGTTGATAAGGACATGGGGGATCTTCAGATGAGTGTTCAGCAACAAGCCAGTCATTGACAGACGGACAGATTGCTGGCGGATATACTTAATTTTTTGTGATAGTCCGACTTTTGTGATCGTTCATATTTTTGTAATCGTTTTGTTTATGTCCAAAATTTCAATAGTTTCCTTATACACAACCAGGTGCGGATCTAGGGTTTTCTCGAGGGGGTAGGGGTGGGGAGTGTGCGGATTTGCAAAAACTGTCGAAAATTTTGCCTACTTTGTTTAGATCGAACAAAATGATTTCCCGAGCTCTCCTAAAGCAATAAAAAGACAGTTTTGACCACAATTTCTGCGCAAATAGGCCAAAAATAGCGTTTTTAGGCACTATTTGAAAAAAAAAAATTGCGTTTTTTGGTCGCTCGCACTCCAAGAAATTAGTAAATATTGGCGCCAAAAGAACAATTTTAGGCTCCATCTGCCAAAAATGTATATCTCAAAATAGTACAAATGTCTTTTTTTCATTTTTTTAAATACTGTTTTCCAATTGGCCTATTTTACTAGGAATGTCGAATGTGCCCAAGTTCTACTTCCCGGTTCACATTATTTATCACACCACGCAGAACAAACAAAACTGATTTGAAAAAAAAACTTTTTTCTTTTAGTTTTTTAAAGATTATGGTTGGAACATTCTGTGCTACTTGCGCAGTAACTGGCTATCCTTGTTAGTTTTTCGAATAGTTTCCAATTATATTCCCATAAAAATTTTGAAATTGAGTTAATTGCTGAAAAAGATATTGATTTTACATCCACGGCAATTTGCCTGGTATGCTACTTGAAAAAAACTGAGGCTATATTCGCAACGCAATTTTTCGTACTAACGGATCTTTTGATTAGTCAAATTACAGCCGACTAAATGTTCTGAGTGTCTGGTCAGCAAGACGACCGCTGTTAAGACGGCAACTTTTTTCATGGAGAACTTATTAAGAAAATTAAATAAAACATTGAAACAAAACCGGGATTTGTTTTCACCGCAAAGGTTTGCGTGTCTTGTATGGGAGAAGGATGTAAATTTGTGCTGTCTTTTTGGTGTATTGTCTTAACTTCCTGTCGTCTCCTTCACCTGACACCAATTTACTGGTATTTCAAATACAGTTGAAGCAAAGCTTGAAATTGTTCTGATTATATTAAAGTGTCACAATGTATGTTAGTTTCAGATGAAGTTTCAGTCAATCAACTTTACACGGTTACGTATGAGCATGATGTACAAATCGTTAAAAACAGCATCAGCATCCCACTGCTAGCGGAAATATTTGACAACATTTAAACATTTACATACGCAGGTTATCATCTAGATCTTCATTGAGCGTGATTGGTTATAACCAGGGGCGGATCTAGGATTCTCTAGGTGGGGTAGGTAGACATTTTTAGGTAGACCTAATTGATTTTACAAACTCGCACAATTCACAATGACCAATTTATTGGAAGAAATGCAAAAAACACTTATAGGTAATTTTTGTAATGTCATAACCAAAATCTTACGTTTTTTCGACGCACGGATCCCCCCAAGGCGCCTTCAGAAAAAAATTATGGTCGATCAGCCCAAAGCTAATGTCTTGAAATAGTACCCAAGTTAGGATAGTGGGCTCAGGCGGCCGAATTCTCCTTCCCCTTTAAATCCGCTACTGATTGATTATAACAGGTGAGTTCATCAGTTTTTTCTGACCTCTGTTTTTCATTTGCTGCGTTTACTGATTTTTGGACGCAGTTTTTCTGATAACGCTAAAAATTATCTATATGGCAAGAATAGAGTGGGCGAACAATATAGGTTGATTATTTAGTATGTTTGTCAGTTTGGGTTAATCACGAGATTGGGGGCAGCAGTGACTCTCCTCCCCTCCCCTTTCCTCTATTAGTCCACTCTTCAATTAGAAGAGACGCCCTCTTTCCACCCTCCCTCATAAACCCTTCAAGCTCCTCGGCTGCAATTCTGCCCATTAGATCACCCGTCCTACACAAACACATCAAAGAATGAAATGTTGATTCAACACGACAGCTAAGGTATAAAAACGCCATAGAATTCGACGAAGATAACTCAGACCAATCGTGCCTTCTGAAAAAGATCTCCGCATTAACATTCACCAAATTGGACTATAAACACCTTCAAAATCTTTTTCATTAATAACTAATTTAAACTGCAGTAATCTGCAGGCTCAGGACTTCATGATATATACGGTTCCCAAAGTTCAAAACACAATCACATGATTGTTCAGGATGAATTTCTACAAAATCTAAATATCTTGAATTTAAGGTAGTTTGGAAAATTCACAGTGCATAGAGCGAATCAGAAGGTTCGTGCAGGCACAAGGCGAACTTGAATGCATTATTTGAAAAACGAATATTTATATTCACAGATCTTATCATAAGACTTATTCAAAGATCTCATTCAAAGGCCTATTTATCGTCAGCTTTGCCTTTCTTACGCTCCTCAGTTGTTCTTTTACCTCTCCAGGGCTTCAGTAAGTTGAGCTAACTCGAAATTGTAGTAAGTTGACTTGTGTGCTCCCGCAGGGTTCAACTCCGGATTTGTACCGGTACGCATTTTATTTCTCTGAGTACAAGGTTCGTCAACAATCAAACTAAAAAATTATCGAGTATCTGAATTATTTCTGATCTGGGATCTACTAAACAATTGCTCTCCCTTTGGTGGGTGCCGGACATCAAGCCGACGGGATTTCAAGCCGAAACCTAAAACTAGGGACTTCAAGTCGAATAGTTCTTTATAAACTCGTAAAACATGATTAATTTGAAAACTTTTTCGAAAAATTGCTGAATTTCATGATCTTTCTTCACAAGTTATTGGCGTTTTCAAAAAATTTAAGCCTCCAAATGATGTTTCGGAATGTTGAAAAGTAAAACATGGTTGAAGGCATTTTTCATGTTTATAATTTATGCATTTCAAAAACCGGCTGATGTTAATAACGGATGCCAATCGCAAGTGGTGCATCGTCATGAATAACGTTTATTATGGACTAAACTTGCCAAAATTTTTGAAAAATAACGTTTTACAGATGATAACATAGTGTTTTGAGGAGCTTGTAAAGTTTTACTTTCGGCTGGAAGTCCCTTCGGTTTGAAGTCCCGTCGGCTTGTTGCCCCCTTTGGTATCTACAAAAGAAATGACACACTTACAAATAAAAACAGTAAAAGCACAAGAGCCCTGATCTCACTTCAGTACTGTCCCACTTGAGTGTTTTGGATGATATTAAAGTTTAGTTCGGAACTAATCTTTCCTCCTGATCTTTCACCTGATTTTTGATTACCACCATCGAATTTCTTGCCTTTGAACAATAATTTACTTCTCACGTCTCTTACTTAGTGTCTTGGCCGCTGAAAAAGTTTTTTTTTGGGAAGAATTCGATTGAGAGGGCAATCCCTTCCCTTGGTTGATAAGGACATGGGGGATCTTCAGATGAGTGTTCAGCAACAAGCCAGTCATTGACAGACGGACAGATTGCTGGCGGATATACTTAATTTTTTGTGATAGTCCGACTTTTGTGATCGTTCATATTTTTGTAATCGTTTTGTTTATGTCCAAAATTTCAATAGTTTCCTTATACACAACCAGGTGCGGATCTAGGGTTTTCTCGAGGGGGTAGGGGTGGGGAGTGTGCGGATTTGCAAAAACTGTCGAAAATTTTGCCTACTTTGTTTAGATCGAACAAAATGATTTCCCGAGCTCTCCTAAAGCAATAAAAAGACAGTTTTGACCACAATTTCTGCGCAAATAGGCCAAAAATAGCGTTTTTAGGCACTATTTGAAAAAAAAAAATTGCGTTTTTTGGTCGCTCGCACTCCAAGAAATTAGTAAATATTGGCGCCAAAAGAACAATTTTAGGCTCCATCTGCCAAAAATGTATATCTCAAAATAGTACAAATGTCTTTTTTTCATTTTTTTAAATACTGTTTTCCAATTGGCCTATTTTACTAGGAATGTCGAATGTGCCCAAGTTCTACTTCCCGGTTCACATTATTTATCACACCACGCAGAACAAACAAAACTGATTTGAAAAAAAAACTTTTTTCTTTTAGTTTTTTAAAGATTATGGTTGGAACATTCTGTGCTACTTGCGCAGTAACTGGCTATCCTTGTTAGTTTTTCGAATAGTTTCCAATTATATTCCCATAAAAATTTTGAAATTGAGTTAATTGCTGAAAAAGATATTGATTTTACATCCACGGCAATTTGCCTGGTATGCTACTTGAAAAAAACTGAGGCTATATTCGCAACGCAATTTTTCGTACTAACGGATCTTTTGATTAGTCAAATTACAGCCGACTAAATGTTCTGAGTGTCTGGTCAGCAAGACGACCGCTGTTAAGACGGCAACTTTTTTCATGGAGAACTTATTAAGAAAATTAAATAAAACATTGAAACAAAACCGGGATTTGTTTTCACCGCAAAGGTTTGCGTGTCTTGTATGGGAGAAGGATGTAAATTTGTGCTGTCTTTTTGGTGTATTGTCTTAACTTCCTGTCGTCTCCTTCACCTGACACCAATTTACTGGTATTTCAAATACAGTTGAAGCAAAGCTTGAAATTGTTCTGATTATATTAAAGTGTCACGATGTATGTTAGTTTCAGATGAAGTTTCAGTCAATCAACTTTACACGGTTACGTATGAGCATGATGTACAAATCGTTAAAAACAGCATCAGCATCCCACTGCTAGCGGAAATATTTGACAACATTTAAACATTTACATACGCAGGTTATCATCTAGATCTTCATTGAGCGTGATTGGTTATAACCAGGGGCGGATCTAGGATTCTCTAGGTGGGGTAGGTAGACATTTTTAGGTAGACCTAATTGATTTTACAAACTCGCACAATTCACAATGACCAATTTATTGGAAGAAATGCAAAAAACACTTATAGGTAATTTTTGTAATGTCATAACCAAAATCTTACGTTTTTTCGACGCACGGATCCCCCCAAGGCGCCTTCAGAAAAAAATTATGGTCGATCAGCCCAAAGCTAATGTCTTGAAATAGTACCCAAGTTAGGATTGTGCGCTCAGGCGGCCGAATTCTCCTTCCCCTTTAAATCCGCTACTGATTGATTATAACAGGTGAGTTCATCAGTTTTTTCTGACCTCTGTTTTTCATTTGCTGCGTTTACTGATTTTTGGACGCAGTTTTTCTGATAACGCTAAAAATTATCTATATGGCAAGAATAGAGTGGGCGAACAATATAGGTTGATTATTTAGTATGTTTGTCAGTTTGGGTTAATCACGAGATTGGGGGCAGCAGTGACTCTCCTCCCCTCCCCTTTCCTCTATTAGTCCACTCTTCAATTAGAAGAGACGCCCTCTTTCCACCCTCCCTCATAAACCCTTCAAGCTCCTCGGCTGCAATTCTGCCCATTAGATCACCCGTCCTACACAAACACATCAAAGAATGAAATGTTGATTCAACACGACAGCTAAGGTATAAAAACGCCATAGAATTCGACGAAGATAACTCAGACCAATCGTGCCTTCTGAAAAAGATCTCCGCATTAACATTCACCAAATTGGACTATAAACACCTTCAAAATCTTTTTCATTAATAACTAATTTAAACTGCAGTAATCTGCAGGCTCAGGACTTCATGATATATACGGTTCCCAAAGTTCAAAACACAATCACATGATTGTTCAGGATGAATTTCTACAAAATCTAAATATCTTGAATTTAAGGTAGTTTGGAAAATTCACAGTGCATAGAGCGAATCAGAAGGTTCGTGCAGGCACAAGGCGAACTTGAATGCATTATTTGAAAAACGAATATTTATATTCACAGATCTTATCATAAGACTTATTCAAAGATCTCATTCAAAGGCCTATTTGTCAGTGGCCTAATTTCTTTTGGCCTAAAATCATCAGATTGATAAGTTAGTCTCTGGCATAAAGCATCTTCTTTATTCCCAAAAACGTAACCACTTCACCACCGCTCCCCTATTAACCCGTAAGCAATTACCGCTATTAACGCGTAAGCAATTTAATCCGTCTTAGAAATCGTTAAGTAACTATCACCACTTTGTATTAATATGGCGTGTAGGGGGATGATTTTGAAGAAAAAAAACTAAAAAGGGTTCCAAAAATTTATTAAAAAACATCTTTTTGAAAAATTCATCAATATTTTTAAAACAAACACTTCTCCATAGAGCTTGAAAGGCAATCGGAACATTCAGCAGTCTTGTTTCTATTTCGAGCAGTCTTGTTTCTATTTCTTCTGAACAAACTATTTTATTCAACTCCCCGTGGAACTAATTTTCGTATTAACATCTGTCATCTTATTGCACAGTTCGGATCTTGTTAATTATTTTCCAACTTTTGCAAAACGGCAAAAATTCGCGCAAGTTTCAAAATTCGTATATGCTTAGCTGTTCAATTCTTTCTTAACAGGGTGGGATTCGTTACAAGTTATCATAAGGTGGAAATAGTTTACAAGGTCCCACAGCTCCTTAAAGGTTCTCAAATCAAAAATAACTTATCGGTTGACAAAAATCACGAGTAGTTTCAAACTTTTCAACTTCGCTGGCACGTTAATTAACGCTTCAAAGGACTTAAAACGGTGTCGACCCTAATTCGAAGGAACTGAAAGTTGGCAAATTATTTCAACAATTTTCAGCCAATCAGAATTGAGTGTTCAAAAATACTCGAAAATCTTAAAGAAAGAAAATAAATTCAGGCCATAAAAATTAAAAATGACTGATCACAAAATTAGCACTTTGCAGATAAATGAAATTTCAAACTTTGCCAGATCAAACACATTACTAAAAAATCTAAATTTTTACAGATACCAATTAAAAAAAAATTTGCAAAATAAAACACCAAAATTGTTGTATCAACACAGACTGTGCATGCTTTATTTCATTTTCTGCTAATTTCGCCCTGTTTACAGCAAAAACAATTCAGCGAAAAAAAGCTTCTACTGATTCTGATAGGTTGGAATTTTTCCATCATTCGGTACCTCCATCATGAGAATAGACCCCACTTAAAATACGTCATGACTCTTCTGCCCTTTTGGTTTTCCTGATATCTGATTAAATAAAACCTATTTGGAAGATTGTTTAAGTTTTAAACTCCTCCGAAACGTGTCAGCAAGAATAAGCGAACAGATTGCCAAAACACTTAATAAAAGCATCTTGCTGTATGATTGATTGATTGACGATTCAAAAACTTTAAATTATAATTTAAAACAGAGTGCAAGAAACAGAGATTAGACTAAATGTGAAAATGCTAGCCAATATGTAGGGAGGCTTCTTTTGAACAAAAGCTGAAGCAATGCAACATACTCTTAGAAAGAGTAGTCGGGTCTTTTTTTTATTCCGCCTAAAAATCATTATTTCAACATCTTGAACTTAAACTATTTTGCTTCAATCTGATTGACTAGAGTTAGCCCATCAAATCTTTGCACCACCTCAAAATGTTTTGTTCACAATTTGAAGTCGACTTATAAATCAGCCGAATTGGCTAAAAACATAGAAAGTTTGGTAAACGAGTCAAATTTATTTCAAATAAGGCGCAGAGCTCTACCCAGACCAGAAAAAAAACAGAAAAAAGTCCCAGGAAAAAAATGACCACCTTCACACCTGCTCAAGGATTCGATCTGCGACCTACTGCGGTCAAAAGAAGTTGAGCCTCACACAATAACCACACATCAACGCACGCTCAGCCAACAACAAACACTAGTCACGAGTAAAGCAGCTACATCTGCTACCAAATTGCCAATGCTATTCAGCAATTGGCACCAAATACAAATAGACACAATTTTGCCAGTAATAGTTTGGAATATAACAAACTAAAGGCAACCACAATAATTTTACATGTGAAAAAGTGGACAGCATAAAGCCACATTATGTACAAATTAAGCGTTTCAATGCGAGATCGAGTGGGTTAGAAAATTTTTAAAACCGAGTTTTTATGATTGTTATGTTGTTTGAAACAAATAGCCAATTTCGGTCATTTTGATGAACTAAAAATGCATCAACTGGGTTAACTAATTAGCATTCGAATGTCAAAGCACATGCTATCAAAACCCTCTGAAGGTGCCCCAAAATGGCGCCAATATTTGCTACTTAGTTTAGAAAAAAAAGTTTTTAATATTACACTAAGCTGACGCTAGTGTAATTAACAAAAATAATCAGCGCGATCCCTTTTTCTTTTTATATTGAATATTACAAAATCGCAAATATAAGAAATTTTGGCGAAATAAGTAAAAAGACTCGAGTAGTGTTGAAAAAAAAAGCTAAGACAATAGCTCCAAAAATAGCTCCAAAAAACAACAAAAACACGGAAATACTGTCTGGTAGAATGTACTAGACTTAACTTCCCCACTAGCTAATGTAAACTCCAAAAAAAATGTATTTAGCGTCTTGTATTCTAATTGTACGACCAAATGATTTGCCTTAATACAATTTCGAATCGATTAATCTGCCGCTTACGCGTGTTATAAGAACGCAATATATAGCGCGTTAATTATCTCGGTACTAGTTTAGAAAATTATCCCGTTCAAAAACTCGTTCAAAAGCATGAGCCCGTAAAAGCACCAATGAGCCCATTTAAAAGTCAGAGAAACGTTTTTAAAGGTAGTTTCAAAGTTTTGTCAGTCGATTGATTTTTTTGATAATTCCATTTCAAAGAAAATTTTAGTGGCAAATCTTAGTGGCCTGAGGAACCCCACTTATAAACAAGCTTTGGAATGGGACTCATCAAAAACGACGGGGCCAAACTTTTAAACGACTACCATTATCTCAATTTGGCCAAATTAGCAATTTTCAAAGCCCCATAACTTTACAAAAAATTAGCATAAGTGAAAAACCTTTTCGAATTTGAGCTCAGAATATCTTTCAAATGGTATAAATATTCGTCAATAATTCAAAGTTAAAAAGTCGAAAATTGAATGAATAAAAAACCACCCCAAGCGTAAAGTCTTTGAAAGTCGGAAAAATTATGCCAGAAACACATGCGTACTTTATTGAAAAAACTGAACAGAAGTATACTAGGAGTGTTGGTTTTATCAAACCGTACGCACTTTTTATATGCTTTTGAAAATCAAAAACTCAATATTAGCACTTACAATTCATGTTTACTTTCCGCCGTGATAAAGATACCATTCAGGTAATTAACGAGCCCTCAAACAGCAATGTCGATAAAGCATATCTCTGCTGCATTTCTACGAAGCAGGTTAGCTTATCAATTAATTTAGATTATTCAAAGTTTCGATGGCTGAAAAACTTCAGTGTTTTGCTATTCCAAAAATATGATATAACAGAAAAGATAAATCAATGGCTACTGAGAATAAATTTTGGTAATATCTAATTTTGCCGCTGATAAATTATCAAACGCCAGAGATACAACTATAAACACTTCCTTAAAAGGACTATTTTATTTATTACATCTTGGCTGAATCATCTAGTTTCTCCAGATCCAAATCAAAATGTTCCGTATAAGGAGTCATTTTTTTAAAAAACTATTCGATGAAACTTTCTTCTTTGAATTGGCAAATTTATCTGATATACCCGGAGTTTAAAAAAAAAGCCCGAGACGGAAAAAAATAACAAGCCGCAAAAAAGCCTAAGTTTCCAGATGAGGCTTCAGTTACCACAGAGTTTCAAAGCGCAAAGTGATCCAACATTTGGTAGAACCGTAAAAACATACGGACATTCGTCTCTGCGTCTAACGGTTCACTCTTTAACTTCACTCTTTTACAGTTCAAAATCAATTGAATCGCATGCAGTCTCAGAGTCAGAACTACGCTTCAATATTAGATCACCCAATGCAGATTCTGTGAATTTCAGACAAAGAGTGCCTATGAAATCATTAAACATTATGTGCTGTACCATATGATCTCAAGACCAAAATTTTTCAATTAAAGCAACCAAGTGTAGGATTCCCTCAATTTATTCAAGATACTCAAAATGCCGTATTCACCCTGCTCCGGGTTTTCCATTTCTGGACATTGATTATCGAATAAGGATCCTCCTCTTCTGGTTGTATACTCATCCTAGACCCCCTATTGTCTGGCTTTGGAGCCACAGAGGGGGGTCTGCCGGTCGAGGGTTTATTGGGCACTCTTAGCTGCAATAATGGTCCAACCATGTTATGTCAAGTTAGATAACTTACCACCTTGTGGCGAACTTTAAGCACCGCAGTCCCAACTTTTTCGGCTCTTTCCCATCATAACTCCCCCCCCCCCCCCAAAAAAAAAAAATTATACCCCTTTCTTCATGCTAAAAAAAATTGTTCTGCGGCGTTGTTACAAGGCTGAAGGAGAGTTATAATAAGGCCGTTCCGCTTTTTATGTGTTTTCCACAAGTGAACTCTTGTTTACGTTTTAGTCAAAGAGCAAAAGAGAACGTTGTCTGTGCGGTGCTTAAATCCGTCCTATATCTTCAATGACAGTTATTTGATTAATAGCTCATCATTTATGACTGTGATCGAGAATAAATTTGTATCTTTTTACGAATTTCTTGATATCCGAAAAGAGGATGATATCTCGCGCTCGTCTACATGAAAACTCCAAACAGAATGTTGAAACATCACGACGGTTAACACATCATAGTGCTAGTTTCATGAATGATATACTGGTTAAAAACAAATAAAATCAAGAAAATCAGGAGAGATTTCAAGTATAATTCAAGAATGGTAAGTTTGACGAAGAAGATTGGAGTGAGAAAATCAATAGATATAAAATAAGTGCACATGACGATACGAAACAAGACCATAACGAGACTTTTTTGCCCATTTTTGATTGCTCAGACTTGTTAAGTGAGTTGTAATAATAGCTTTACCTCGTCATTGCTGAAACAAAAGTCATGAACTCATTCGACTATGCTCAAGTTTCACTTAAAATTATTTGGTAGAAAAATTTCCACCAATACGTTCCAAATGTAAAAAGCTTGCAATTATCAACCATTTGAAAAACTTCAAACAAACATTTTTTCAAACAAAACCCCAAAGAGACCACGAAAAAGAGACAAATCAACCCATAACTTGTAAAATAAGGCTGCAGTAGAATATAGTCCGTAACAGATTAAATTGGCAACAAACTCCTAGTTGACGTGGTTTGCAATACTGTGCATCGAAAACTTAAAAATTTCATCTAAGAACACTGAAGTGACTCACAAGTTCCGGTCTTGTTCATGGATGCAGGGATCTGTCTTGGTCACTCTGAAACAAAAGAACACAAAAATTAGAAAATTATGCATTAAGTTCAGAGTTAGTTCTCGCTTAAATGATTAAGTTTTCATCGTCTTCTATTGTGATGAACTTGGGCACCTGTAGAGATGCTCGGTGCGGAGGAACTGCTTGACCTCCATCATGACTGCTCGGGAGTCGCCTTCTGTCTTGAGCATCTTCTCGTCAAATATGGAGGCCAAGTGTGTGTCGTATTGTCCCGCCGCACTCAACAACAGCTCCAAATCGGCCCCCTTGCCTCTGAGTGCCTCTTCGTCTCGACTCGACTCTACGAACTGCTCGATGGTACGCGACACCACCACCAGAGCCCGCAGCTGAACAATAACTTTAAATCTACAATTGTACATGCAAATACCTGTCCTGAGATCAAGTTTTATGCATGCATCCGTGCAAACATCAGGGCGCTCTAAATTAGGAAACTGACCAGATAAATTCAGTAAATTATGATCTTAGTAAACCGAGTAGCGTTTTGGTCTAAGTTTAGCATTTTGAGCAGGTGAAAAATTTAAAGTAATTGATAATACGTAATTTCATGTACCTTCTTTTTAAAAGAAGTCTAAATCGAATCACGAATTGATGACTTTTAATCAATTGTACAATTATTTTATGCGTATCTGCTAAAAAAAACTATCTGAGTTGTTTTAATGTCCAATTTCAATTGACCCGCTTGTAATCTCACAACCAGCTCTCATAGCTCAACCTTTGTATTATGAGAGAAAGAAAGTCATTTTTTGCAAAAAGAACTGTTTCAATTTATGTCTTTTAAAAAATTTGGCTTTAATTTAAAAATATGGTTTTTCAGTGGAGTTATAGAAAATAAACAAAAATTGTTTGCTTGATTAAGATTAGAAGCAACAGCGAATTTTGATTATTTTGTTAGATACCGCAAGGCCTTCTACTCACCAACTCTCCCAAGTATTTCTCGAATCTAAACACATAAAAAGTCGTGAGCCCTTTCATTAGCCAATTCAAAACCTAACCATAGCAACTCCTGTGTTTATGAGTAATCTTGTGCCAAAATAATGCACGAGTGATTTTTGATTGAACGGAAAATTATAGCACCAGCAAAATCATTCTCGTAAACAAAAAGCTGAAAACGCTTGAAGTTTTAGTCATGCGGTGATTATGATAGTGGAAAAATAAACATTTATTAACAGAAGCGGAGCTTGCGAAAAGACATCATTCAAGCTTTTACAAATAATGGACACTTGAGAACAAGGTTCAACGATGAAACTAAACATTTTGATGAAAAACTATATAGTTAAAAATGAAAACTTGTAAAATATGCCCTAGAACATAAAAATATCAAATTTATAGCACTCAGACAAGGAGTTGAAGCAAGAAAATAAAAAAAGCATTGGAAACGAAAAGGACTTAAAAAAACTAACAAAGAAAAATAAAAATTAATTTAAATAAAAAACAAACAATACCGACCATAATAATAAAAACAAAATAGAAAAAAAAAAACAATTTCGTATTTTTTTCATATTGTCTCGGTTTTACATGTGGTGAGATGAGAGGATCTAAAAGAATGCCTAACACTTCAGCGTTTTCGATAATAATACTAAATTAGCTATATACGACACCAGCTAAACTCGAAGAACACAAATTTCCAAAAAAATGCAGAAAACGTTTTTCATTTGTTAAAAATTTCCAAGGAAAGCGCTATTTCTGAAAAAAGCGTTTTTCTCGATAAAACATTGGGGGCCCAGCTAAAACTGGAGGTATGTATTTGATATTTAATGATTTCGCTATACTGATGCGGAACAAAAGTGTGATTTCAAAAATGAGCTTTGCCTAAAACCTTAGTTGCTTCTCTACTAAAATGAGTGACAAGAGGAGAAAATTCAGAGATAATCAATTTTCCCAAAGAGATAACAATGCTCTTGAAAAAATTAAGGAATCGCCGCTTCTACAGGAAGAATTATCGCAACCAATTTTTTCCATTGACCTTTTCCTCTCAGATTTGATTGTAAAAATTTTAAGTTAATTCAAAAAGTTTCAAATATTCCCCCACAGACTTTTTCGAAGGCTGTAGACAGAGGGGTCAAGTAAAAAGAGACTCTAGGGAAAATTGCAGGCGCACAGGTGAGTAAGCGGTCTTTCAATTGATACCCTTTTTGAAAATCAATAGAAGTTTTTGAAAAACTGTGCAAAAAATGAAAAAAATTTTCAAAACGAAAAAAAAAAAGAAAGTTCAGCAAACCAATTGGTAAATATATAACCAATTTGAAAATTGCGGAGGGCAGTGTTGAAATTAGGTTTTCCTTACAATGAACCAAAATTAGACCATACAGCCGGTAAAAAACAGGGCGAAATAATTTGGGCCGAGGATTTTTTTAGCGAAACAAAAAAAAAACAAAGAAGGAAATACGAGGTCAAGGTAAAAATAATTACAAATTGTAGACGTAAGCAAACACTAAAAGCAACATAAAAAAATGCGCTCAGCAAAAAAAAGTATTCCAAGATGTTACAACTAAGCCGACAACAGATAAGCAGACAATTAATTGGACCACAATTTTTTTGAAACAGTATATTTCCCGCTTGAAAAAAATCAGGTCCTGGTCGTCCCAGGCATATTCGTTACTTCTAGGCTGAGTTGGCCGGAAACTCTGCAAAAACTTATTAGACTATGAAACAAGATAACGCCAGAGATGAGTCCAGATGACCAGATGAGTCCTGTGAACAAAGTTATTTACAGGTAAAAAGTCTTGTACCAGATTGCAAAACCCTTGCTTTTTGCAAGGATAATGAAATACTTAACTGTCAGTTCATAATTAACAAAAATTTATTAGAATTATTTTTACTCAAATACTACTTTCCGTACCCCTAACTGGGCGCAACTTGGGCAGGCGCCCCAAAGGTGGCAAAAAATCAAGCAAAAAAAATAAGTTCGGGAAGGCAGTGACAACCTATACAGAAACCAAGATGCACCGAAAAAGCAACAGAATCGAAAAAACGGCAAACGCAGCTCTTAAGTTGGCAAAAGAAAAACAAAAGAGAAGGTTATTTGAATCACGACGATAAGGGCTTTAATATGATATATCACTCGATCAATTCCAATAAACATTTGGGGTACCTGTCTTTGCGGTGATGCAAACCAATCGAATGCAATGGAAAATGCAGCTGTTAAATTGGCAAAAAATAAGGGAGTACTGAACGATAACAAATCAGCAGCAGTAAAAAAAACTTCGTAGACTACGGGATTTGATCTTGGACAAATCACTCAACGTGTTGGCTTCTAGTCCTCTTGCGCACAATTTTTTGATAGATATCAGAAAACAAACAAAAATGCTACAATAAAGCGGATATAGTTAGAAATTATGATAAACCATAACTGATAAAAATATTGCATTGAAATGCGCCACCTTCTTTGGAAACAAAAGGACTAATCTTATAATATTACGCTCACTAGCTCTCTTGTAAAAATACAGCAAGGTAAGCCATGCACTCACGTTTGCTTTATTTGTTTGCAGCTGTTTGAAAACTTTTTAAAATTTTCAGTTGACTGCAAAAAAAAGCTAGTGCCCGATTATAGAACACTGACTATCGCAGGCAGGGGCGGATCTAGAATTTTCTCGAAGGGGGCGGAATTTAAAAAAAAAATATGAAAAATTTGACCAACTTTTCTGCTCCACATGCATTTTTTTTTGAAAAAACAGGCCAAAAAAGCGTTGTTAGGCACTTTTTGGAAATTTCGGCCAAAAAATTAGTATATTTTGGCACCGAATGCGCCTTTAGAATAATTTTAGGTTCAGTCAGCCAAAAATTAATATCTCAAAATAGTACAAAGGGGGCCTTTGGGTCGGCAGGGGGTCGAAAATCCCTGAGGGGAGGGGGGGGCGTGGGGACGCGTCCCCCCTAAATAAATCTGCTGGTGATCGTAGGTGTAAAAAGAAAAGACTGCTCGTATATCAGGGCTAAGCCCTGAATGTTCCGTATGCACAGGAAAGTACAAATAAAAAGTTTTTTGGCTGAATAACTGACGAAATAATCGGAAAAAAATACAAAAAAGTTTTTTTTCTTAATTTTAGCCCCCAACACGCTATATAAAATATAAATGGAGTGTTTAGCACCTCGTGTTGTTTTAATAGGACTAAATTGCAGGCCTTAACTCAATTTGGAACGCTTTAATTTACGCGCACGCGTGTCATAAGAACCCAATGTATAGCGCGTTAATTATCCCAAATTGGCCAAGCTAGCAATTTTCCAACCCCCGTAACTTTAAGAAAAATGATCAGATAAAATATCTTTTGAAATTTGAGCTCAAGAAAACAAGATCTTCCAGATGCTATACAAATTCCGTCAAAAATGCTTCGTTGAACACTCGAAAATTGACTGAATAAAAAACCAGCTCAAGCATAAATATTCCGCACGTTCTTCGAAAGTCGGAACAATATCGTTTGTCCAAAAATCTAACTGAAAGAATATAAAAAGAATACTGACTCGGCTCTCACTATTTCTTTTCCAACTCGCTCTCTGTACTGGGGCGACAAGAAAGCCTGAAACACAACAGAACAATTAATACTGGTTCGGTTCCCACAATGAACGTCCATAGCTCAAGTTTATAACAGAGCAAGAGGTTCCAAAACTATTTCAAATTACTTGCTAGTGGACTTACGTTATTACCATAGTTAAAATCAGGCCGCAAGAAAAGTAATTTCAAGAAAAGTAAAAGGTACCATAAAAAATTGGGAGGAACGTTTGTCTTCGGATGCTTTTATTATTTTGTTTTCCACGCAAAATCAGGTACAACAAATAATCATCAGAATGGGTCGAGTGATATATCATATTAAAAACCATTCTGTCGTAAGTCGGAAGACCTTAAAATTTTTAAGCTGATGAAGAAAGCTTGCTTGAAAAATTTTTAGTCTAATTTCGACGAGAAATGTAATAATTAAACGCAATTCTAGTTCAAGTTTAACGTTACTTTACTTGTTAAAAATTCTCATTCTGCCGCTTTCACCTAATTCATTTAGCCTTTACAAAAAAATAGTCAATCAACCAAAAATAACTTAACCAAAAAAATGGAAAAAAAAACGGATTTTTTTTGCATTTCTCGTTATTTTTATAGATAAGTTTGGTCTGATCATTCTGTGCTATTTGAACAGCAACCAGCTATCCTTGCAACCGGCTACCCTATTCCACGAATTCTGTTCCGACTCTCAGAGTCGCGTCGATGCTATTCCGCGACCGATAATACCATGTACAGGGACATATACTCGCGGGCATGGTGTGAGCTTATCGACTTACAGTCGAGATAATCTGAAAAACAGTCTCAATAGCTGGAAAATCTGAAAAGAAATTTTGATAGTTCGCACTTAAAATTATAGCCTCACACCAAATATTAATTGATTAAGCAAGTTAAAGGTGACTGTCTTCTTGCGCGGTCAGAAAAACATCACTTCGAAGTTGAGCGAACAATAATAATACCAAGAAAAATGAGATGGACAAAGATGGAAAAACAAGATACAACCTCAAAAATTAAGCAAACATCATCAATACCAGGAAAATGAGAAGGGCAAATTAGGAAAAAGAAGAGAAAACTCACGAGGCACTGTTTCTTGAGCCCACCCTGGATGGGCGATATGATTTTCGAGATCAGTTCCATGAACGCCCTCAGAGTCTGCAGCTGTCTGGCAGGGTATGATTTCTGCTCATGGAACTGGAAGTAGATATCGCACACAGTCTGCAGGAACCGAACCAGTTCAGTCTTGGCCAATTCACACGAATGCTTGATTGAAGGCTGAACATATTCTCAGATAAAATTAGACATATTAGACTGAACGAAACTTATGAAACGACGAACAAAACTTACGTGTGTAAATACTAAATAACAAAAAAATCATGTTCAAATTAAGAATCATGCAGTCATTGCGTCGTGTCACATAATGCAAAAAAAAAGTTATTGTGACTCAATTTAGTAAAACCTGATTTGGCCGGAACTCTGGCTGATATTCGAGCTCTGGCAGTATACAAACGAGGATAGGAAGATAGTAATAAATTAAATAACATAGCTTCACTCTGTTTTTGTTTAGTGGTAGTTATTTTGGTGCAAATTTTTATTGATATATGATTAATGTTCACTGAAGATAAATTCTTCTGGTTCATGTCAATATCATTTTCAAGGATTTTTAAGTCAGTCAATGAAAAAATATCACCAACTGGTTTAGCCATGGCTATGGGCTGCCATCTGCACTTTCCAGGGTACAGCTCTGTATCATTACGGTTCACCAAGTTCTGTTCTGTCAGTTTGTACTTAGTCACCTTCATTCCAAACACCTGCAATGAACAAAAAACAAGAAATGAAATCAAGTTGCCACGCAGTTTGGTAAAAACCTACTTTTATTTTAAAGGTCGCCTTATTTTATTTCGGCGCCAGAAAATGTTGAATCAAATTCAAGCCACGATACTCATGGGGGCCTCGAACCAACAACCTTTAGCTTGAAAGGAGCAACTAGCATTCTGTGGCTTATATTTAATTGAGAAACATTTTTTCGACTGATAACTAGCATACTGTACAATGCTATGAGTGTACATGTATAAATAGTAACTAGCATTCCGTGGAAGTTCATCTGATTGATGTACACACAGCTGCGGGGGTTCAAGGGCACTTACTGCAGCTGCTCTTAGATTTTGTTTCCACTCCTTGAGTAGCTTTTGCCTCTCTTTATCACTTCCGCATGCGTCATAATTGAACAGCATTTTAGCAGTATCGTCATCAAACTCGATGTCTTTCAGTTCATCGACTTCCGATACCGGGATTCGTTTCTCGAACATGCTAATCGCATGAGTTCGGTAGAACTCAACATCTGGACTGTCAGACGAGAGAAACAGGGCCATTTTGAAGCGCTTTGGGAGCCATAGTTGCGGGTGCAGTTGAGCATACACTATGTCTAAAACCTCATTTGAATACCTTTCTTTCCAGTCAACCAGCCAGAGGCCTAGCCCAGAAGTTAAGTATTTTAAAGTTGAACAAGAGCTATCTTTCATGCGCTAGCCTTGCAAATTGCAGCATACAAGCGATTTGAACCCGCAATCATATGATTGCTGGGGACCAGGGCGACCACTTTTTTGAGAGAAAAAAAATAGTGACTATGACAATTTTCGAATTTTTTGTCGACCTTTTTTTAAGGTCGACCAAATTAATTTTTCAAGCTCTGCCAAAGCACTAAAAAGTCCCTGTTTTGGCCAAAATTTCTGCGCCGCAGGCATAATTTTGAAGAAACAGGCTGAAAAAGTCGCTTTTAGAAAAACTTTAGGGTCCGTCACCAAAAACCGTTGTAAATAGTGACTTTTAGTGACCATTGAAAAAATAGTGACAAATTAGTGACTGGTCACTAAAATAGTGACCAAGTGGTCACCCTGCTGGGGACAACCACTACCGGATGCGCCACAACATTTAACATAATAGTTGATTAATCAACAAACGAGGCCACATTTAGATTAATGCTGAAGGCTTATTATGCCACCCTTATCATTTTTCTGGTTAAACCGTTTACTGCATATTTTGTGAAACATGTAAGCTGTAGAGGTTGGCTGGAGGATATGAAAACTAGCCTAAAGTAGGATTTTTACCGCTTGTTTGGGCCTGTTTGTCGTGTTCTTCCCTTACAACTGAGTGATGAGGAAAGAGGGTACGCAGGTAGTTCTCCAGCTCAAAAGAGGACAAATTCTCTCCACTGTATATAAAAGTCTTGCCCTCGAACACCTACAATAACAATACAAAAACTAACTAAAAATTTACAATGCTTCAAATATTTCAAAAGGCCCATGGCACAATATTTTGTAATTTTTTTCTTTTAATTTCAACATTCTTGAATGTATAATTTACAGAAAAGCGAAGCGAAGCGAAAGGAGATTGACGTTAGAAATCTTCCAAACAAAAGTCCCCAATCTTCCAAAAGAAATTGATTCAATTCAAAAATAATTCGAGAAAAGTACACTCAGGAAATCAAGAACGCTGAAATTAAACGCAAAAAAAAAGAAAATTTCTAATGCATGATTGAAATCAAAGAGCAGAGTTTTTTTAACGAAAGCTTCATGGTAGAATTCAAGCCCTCAAAAATATAGTAATATTGAAGTTAGGATCTTACTCTAAAAGTTTCGTGTTTTCAAATACCATTTTGTTCAAACTTTCTAAGTAAAACGTAATAGTTTCCAATCTTGAAACTTTTGGCACGAAAACGACAATTTAATTGCTGATTCCTAGCTTTTGTCATATATTTCTAGGTCTTTAACCAGACAGAGTTTGTTTTCGTTGGCTGCTGGCTTTCTATCTTGGTTACGTCCATCTTTTAAGATGTTCCATAGATCAAAATACAATTTTGATATAACGGCGCAATTTAGGTTTCGTATATCATAAGCAGGGTAGAGCTATTGAATTAATATCTGTGTTGATATCATCGAAAAAGATTTAGCTGTCTTTTTCAAAGTTTTATCAAGTTGTTTTACATTAAGACCTACATCCTTAAATGATCTATTGCTACTTATTTCATTGCTGACTTTTTAAAAAAAATTTCTTAGGTAGCTGTTTGATCCTAGTTCATGGTGAACCAAGAAAAACTCGTACTCATCCTCTTTAATTCTAGTTTTTTCCATTGATGTATAATGCACAAACATTGCCTTGATAGAAATTTGGCAAAACATCAGTATCAAGTAAAAACAACAGCAGTCCCAAGAATCAACCTTGTGATTTTTTTAAATTTATATTTTTGGTTTCTGAAAATGAATATAGACCATCAATTTACTAATTGCGATGTCAAAGTTTGAACTTGAAAGATTACCAACTTTACCGCGGATACTGTACAATTTGAGCGTGTTTCCATCTGAATGATGATTGAATGAAAAACTATAAGTGAGCAATCAAACTATCGTTCGCGCGCCAAAAATTTCAAGATTTGAAACAATTTCGTTTAAACAAATTGACACTTGAAGAGACGAAACTTCTAGAGAGAAATCCTAAATTTAATACTTCTGTGTTGTTTTGAGGGCTTGAATTCCACCATGAAGCTTCCGTCAAACTTTATTTGCAAGATTTCTAACGGTATAGCTCCACAAAGCCTATTCAGATTTATAAAAACTGCTTTTCAATTAAGCGCAATGATATTACGTTTTATTGTAATTAAACACAGTTTTAATGCCAATGGCTTCAAGATTAAGAAAACTAAGAGATTTATAGAGGGAAAAAATGTTGATGCATACTCATTGATTAGTCCTATTTTTTTATGATATTTTGCATATTCAAAACCAAATGCAACTGTTTAAAATAAAGATAAGGAAACGCGTTGAATTATGACTGAGAGATAGTATCGAAAATGAAAATTGAAAATAAGTGTATTGAAATTGTAACCAATGAAAGAGACTTATTGAAACTAAAGTTACGTTTATAATGGAAAAAATTTAACTTTTTCAAATTTTTTGCTCAACAGTTTTTAAAAACATTTTTTAAAAGCTTTATCAACAAAAAAGCGCCAAATTTACTTTCAAAGCTAAATTTTTTCAAAGCAAAATCATACTTTCTCAGCCTTTAAGTCCAAATAAATGTTGAATTTACATATAATGAACGCTACTCGGTCCAGTTAATCGCCCGAAATTGATATCACAAAATGTGAACAAAAATGTCTTTTTCTCGACACTAAATAATTTTTTATGTCGTTCGAATTACGACTAAAGAGCCTCATTTGGATATATCACTCGACTCAATCAGATGAATATTTGTGGTACCTGTTTTTCGTGGAAAAAAACTACAATTCATCCGAATGCAAATTTTTTTCCCTTTTTCAATGGTCGAAATAAAAAACTAAGTTTAACACACAAGAAACAAGCTTCGAATGCTTCATTTAGCCATTTAGCGCTCACTTGACAATAAACATTTTTCCAAAAAACTATTCTGCTAAATAGAAAAAAATTCATTTTTTATTGGCTTTTCTTTTTTATGACAACTATTATGGATTACAACTAATTCACTAACGTTCTATGCGTTTTTATAGTTCTCTTATTATACCACGCACAAAAAACGACACTAATTTGAACAAAGAAAAGGAAAGCATTTTTGGCAGTTTTTCATGAATGTGGTAGGAACGTTCTGTGCTACTTGCTCAGCAACCGGCTATCTTTGTTTCTTGGGGTCGTTTTATGCATGTAGTGGATAGGAAAATGTCAATCCTTTCTTATGTTAAACATGTCATGCTGTTGCTTAATATAAACTAATAGTACAGGCACAAACAAGCCGAATTTGATGTACAAAGTTTCGTCTTATTTTGAAAAAGTAGACTGATCTAGTAACGCAAGCCCCGGTTGTAATTGACTTAAGCAATGAAAAAATTATTTATAACTCTTATTTATTAACTAATTTATTAAAACCATGATCGCCTCTTCACGCAAAATTTACTGAGCCATTTCTAGAGTTGTTGCTGGCAAACGTATTTTACCTTTGGGATTTGGACGCGTTTATCTGCGCCTGGTCCGCTGTTCAATCCAGGAAAAGCGCTGGACTCTACTCGTGGGAATTTGACCATATAGAACTGTAGCTGGAATCCACGAGTGTGTATTGTCCGAACTGAAGACACCTGTTGTTGCTGTTGCTGTTGCATTTTATCTGCCGATTCCGAGATCGATGCAAGAATACCTTAAAACATTTTCAAAAAATAAATGAAATTAAACCAAAAAATAAACGAGATGAAATGAGATAATAAATGAGCTGAAATAAAACCGTCCAGTAAAAGTCAGACAATAAAAATTAACTAATTTGACAGACAAATATTTCGTTAACAAAATTGAACTTCATTTTTTTGAACTTAAGTTAACCTTATTAAAGAAAGGAGTTAGTCTTTTTACTTCAGATTTATCTCGATATTACTTTATATGACTCTGCCAATAAGATTACGTACGGCTAGCCAAACAACTTCCACTACCCTTGAAGTTATTAAGGTGACTGTTAACAACCCAGAAAGTCTGCGCTAAGTTCTCTCGAGATTTTAGAAAAGCTAATAGCAAATTTTGATATCAATAATTAAACATTGCGCATATGACTCTTTTTTTTTATTAAACGGAGGCCAAAGGTATAAACTAAAGGCTTTCCCATTATAGGGGTCTAAAATTTGCTGGAGGGTTATAATGAAAAACAGCCGAGAAATCTTCAAAAAATTATCTTGTACCGATACCATTTTTGTCTGTCTCGCGGTCAATGGTGTCTGCAATCAAAAAGCACGAGAGAAATAAATACTTTTTTGTAATTATGTTTTTCAAAAAGCTTAATGGAGAAGATTCCTTGCAAGTATAAAATAACCTCTGCCTGTCTTCCTCTTGCTGTCTGTGATATCGAACCCTCCGGTCTCTGGCGGAAGAATTTGATCCACTTTCTCCCGAAGAGACACTCCTTTGATCTTGCACGCAAGCTGGGCTCTATGCACCTACAGAGCAAATGCTACAGTAATTTTTTTCTTGCACATAGCAAAGTTTCTGCGCATTTAGCTAATGCCATCACACAATACCATCACATCAAAGGCTCCTAAAGATATCAACCTTCCGAGAAAAATCTTGAAATATGAAAAACTCAAAAAGCCGCCAAACCGTCACATTTGAATCGGGAAAAGTGAATGAAAAACAATGAAAATGGACTTGAAATCGGTCGAAGTAAGGGACCGAAAAGACCCAAAAAATTGAAAATGAGAGGAGTCAGGCAATCGTTTTTTTTGCATACAAATTACTCGCTGTAAAAACGAATTCAAGGATCCTATCAAATTTTTAGAGCCGTGGACTACGATAAAACAGTCCGGCACAACCTGTGGTGACAGTAAAAAAAGAAATGACAAAAAAAATGGAAAACCAGCGTTTGAGATTACCAGTGCCAATTAAGATTAACGTTTCTAAGCCAGACATTATGTTTAAAAGATTTTAAAAATGCTGCAAAACGCGTTATTGAAAAGGTTTTGAGAAAATTGTAAAACGGAAAACAAAAATATAATCTGGTTATTTTAATGAGATCTTGAAAGTTTAGCGAGTTCCTCTAGTTCAACGAGAGACATAGTAAAATTCTATTAAAATCCCAACCAAAAACACAGTAGAAAAAAAACAAAAAGAGTTTTTAAGCCGATTGAGAAATTTTGAAACGAAAGATCAAAGAGGAAAAATCCCAATTTTCATAAATTTTGCTGAACACAGTCGAAGCATAAACAAATCATTCTTCGCACCACTTAAGAGTTATTGCAGACATAATATCGTAAGCTGGCCGACAGAAAAGGAGAAGAAACATTGGAACATTACGTGTCAACATTAAATATTGTCAGCGTTGAACTAGCATTAAGATTAAATTTAAGAAGCAAAAACTAAGAAAATAGTGCTTCAGCAAATGCCCGTTGAGCCGGAAAAATGTTGCTAAAATATTTTTTTCAGCTTAAAAACATTTTGTTTCAACTCCCCCACAAAAAAATCATACAAAAGCTTTTCCACAATTCAAACAACCCAATTTGATGCTACTAAGCTAACAAAAATTAAACGGAAAACTTTTAAGCTGAACAAACTATTGAAGCGAAAAACTGATATTATGCAAATCAGATTTGGTAAATTTATAACGAAATTAAAACGTGTATGTCCGCCAGGCCTGTTGGGATTTCGATTACAGGAAAAGTGCCCAGTACCCAGCTGAAAAACCCTTGCTAATCGCGCGGTATTCAGCAATTAAAACTATGGTTCGCAAACACAGGCAAAAAGGGACCAAAAAACAACCCCCCATCTGTCTTAAGGGTGATTAAATTGAATTCGCTAACAACTTTTCTGACTTTTTTAGCCAATCAGAAACCAGTTGTTTTGCACAAAACTAAACTCGAAACTAATTAAAAATTGTAGTTTAGCAAAAATTCAATTAACCGAACATAGATATTTACCTCTTGGCTGAATGAGTGGCTTCATTTGGTTTCCTTATAAATTACAGTTTTAATAATAACGTTTTTATCAGCAAATTTTGACAAAGTTAAAACTAAATAGTATATTTTTTTCAACCGATTTCGATTATAACATGGGCCAAAAGGGGTCTATTTCGAATTAAAACGCGGATTTAAGTAACTCGCCAAGCCCATATCGAAGATTCGATAACAAAGAAAAAGTGCACAGATACCTTTAAGACTTAGGTTGGAAAAAATGGACTTATCTTATATACAAAGGCGAAGCTGCGCTTCGCAACACTAGCGATAAAACGACAACAGCTCTATAAAGTGAAATAGGTAAAAAGGTAAAAATAAGCCTTGAAAATTAAAACGTTTGCTATGGCGGATTCGATCCTATGACCAGGAGATTAAGAGTCCCCGGTCCTCGCATCTGGGCACTTGACAATTCACTAACACTAGCCACAAATAAAGTAGCTACATATACAAATAATTTGCCAATGCGGTACAGCAAATTTGCACCAAAATCAAAAATACACAACTTTGCATGTAAAAAAATGGAATATAACAAACCAAAGGCATCCACAGTACCTTTGAATGTAATAAATTGGAAAGCATGAAGCCAAACTATGTAAAAACAATGCATTTCAAAAAACTGCAAGATGTTTTGAGTTGGAAAATTTCTGAAATCGAGTTTCTATTACTGTACTGTTGTTTGAATCAAAAACTTTTTTCGGTTCATTTGATGAAATAAAAATGCATCAACTGTGTTAACTTATCACTAATGGTTGCCAATGTACATGCTATCAAAAAGTCGGAAGGGTGACCCAAAAGTGGCACCAATAATTGCGAATTAGGATGGAATAAAAGAATAGTCATAATATTACTTTACGCTCCGCTAAAGCTAGCAAAAGTAACAAGACTGCTCGTATCAGGGCGAAGTCCTGAAAGTTCCGACTGCCTTTTAAGGTTTATGGAGCAGTAATAAACCAAAACAAAATTAAATGTAATAAAATAAAATGTTTTTTTTTTTGAAATTTGAATTGTTTTATGAAAATCATTCCCCATCCCATACGCCATATGAAGTATAAAAAGGATAAATTTCGCTCCTTGTAACAAATCAATTACGGCAAATAAGCTTCCTTCAACCAATTTGGAACGATTTCTAAGACGGATTAAATCTGCGCTTACACGTTAATAGCGCGAAATATATCGCGCGTTAATTGTCCAAAATGGCACTCTTTAAACTCCCACAACTTACGAAACATAATCACAGGCGAAATATCTTTTCAAATTTAAGCTCAAGGCAACAATACCTTTCGAAAGATATTTAAAAATTCCGTCAAAAATGGCTAGTTAAAAAGTCGAAATTTGTCTGAAGAAAAAAACCCACCTCGAGCACAAATATTCCGTTACTTTCATAAAGAAAGTCGGAACAAAACACATGTAACTCTGCTTGCGTTTAATAATCCTTACATTATTGATGGCGATTCCCTCGTAATCCAGCTTCCTGTAGTAGAAGTTACTCAGCTGGTCCCTCGCGTAGTCCGCCGCCTCGTAAAGCTAAACACATCCACTACCTCTTTTGTTTTCAATGAAGTTACAAATTGACAACTCAGAATTGAGATTTGTATTTAACTTTTCAATCCCTCAAGTAAATGATCTATTTGACGAAGAACAAAATGAAAAATTCATGGGAAAAATGTTCGAAGAGGTCAAAAAATAGTTCGAAGTCTTAATGAGTTGAAGAGGGGGAGGGGTCTGTTCAGTTGAAACAGTTACCTTCTGCTGTTCATACAGAGTAGCTGCCTTGTTGAGTATGTGTATGGACATCTCCAAGGTCGTGAATCCCTCCCGGTAGAACTCGGAGGGCACTTCGTCCGCCAGATGGGCCACACTGTTCGGCCGAGTACGCTTGTTCTGCACAGAAAAAAAATTACAGGGTAAGTGCCATTTATAGAAGTAGTCAGTCTCAAGCATGATCCTGAAAACTATACTGGAAAATTAAAAGAAGAAAGGTGAAGATCATATTTTGAGTTTTACTAAGTCACTAGGGCCTGGTCAAAGGCTTGCAAAATGTCATTTAGATTTGCCTAACGCAACGCTGAAGAACAACAGCGCACAGTCAAAACCTTTCAAGAGAAACATCACTGAATTGTTGAAACTTTGGAACCAGAAACTAGGTGATGATGACGACGTCAATGTTAACACATGATAGGAGCTAGTTTGATCAAATTCGTAGCAACTAGTATCCAGGAACATTTCAGAAGTCCCACTATGATATTTAGGAGCAAGGTCATACATAAAAGCCACATATTTGGAAGACAAAGATCACGCCGGGAAACTTAAACTTTGAGTCGCTCGACGAGACTTGCCTTCTCGTCGAGTCGTTCGAGAAGCATGACAAACTCCATCAGTGTCTCGGCAGCCGAAGTGAGATTATGATGAGTCACATTGAGCGAGTAGATTCTCATGTGGTATCGAATGAAGAGAACATTCTCACTCAGGTCTCCCACGCCAGTCGCAGAGGATCCAGATGGCGTTATTGCTCCCGGGGCACCAGAAAAGGAAGAAGGTGAAATGCCTCCATCAACAGAGGCAGCTGTAGAGACCCTAAAAAAAACGACATATATTTGACACGTATATTCATGGCAGCCCTCCTCCCCCGCGGTTGACCCTGCAGTGTGTGGGACCGGGGGTTTGGTCAGAATAAACTTTTTTAAGACAAAACCATAAGAAAACTCGAAACAACTTTTTGTGTCAGAAAAAAATTAACAGCGGAGCAGAAAATCAAGTTATGATTTTACAAGGGTTAGAGAGTTTCAGACAACCCAAATTTCAGAATCGTTTTCTGGAAGAGCAAAAACTCTTGCCCAGACTAAAACTGATACGGAAGCCTATCGTACTTTACAAAGTAAGGCAGCTGCACTTGGACCACACAAGCAAAAATACGAGAAAAAGGAACTTTCTAATGCAAAATTAAGTCATGAGAGAAATTAAGCTTTAAAAGACTTCTCGTATCAGGGCGAAGCCTTGAATGTTCCGACTGCCTTGTACGGTTTATGGAGCAGTAATAACATAAAATAAATAAATTAAAATGAAATCAAAAAAAAATTCTAAAATTTGAGATTTTTTTTTGAAAATCATCCCCCACACAAAAGAATAGATTTCACTCCTTGTAACAAATCAATAATGGCCAATAAGCTTATTTCAACCAATTTGGAACTATTTCTAAGACGGATTAAATCTCAGCTTACGCGTTCATAGCGCGAAATATATCGCGCGTTAATTGTCCCAAATTGGCAAAAATGGCAATCTTTAAACCCCAATAACTTTCCAAGAAATGATCACAGTTAACATATCTTTTCAAATTTAAGCTCAGGACAACAATACTTTTTGAATGATATAAAAAAATTTCGTCAACAATGGAAGTCGACCCGGAGCAGAAATATTCCGTAACTTTCGTTACGAAAGTCGGAACAATAACTAACTGCAGAATTGAAAAAACCTCTAGAACCTACCTTAAAAGTATGTTAAAAGTTCCCTTAAAAGTATGTTAACATTAGCCACCAATACAGCAGCTACAAATGTTAATAAATCGTCAAAGCTGCGCAGCAAAAATGCAACTAAAATTCACAATAAACAAGACTGCTCGTATCAGGGCGAAGTCCTGAATGTTACCACTGCCTCTTGAGGTTTATGGAGCAGTAATAACATAAATTTCATAAACAAATTAAAAGTAAAAAAAATAAAATGAAATTTTTTTTCTAATATTTGAAATTTTTCTATGAAAATCATACCCCCACACGCCATATTAAGTACAAAAGAATAGATTTCGCTCCTTGTAACAAATCCATTATGGCACATAAGCTTCTTTCAACCAATTTGGAACTATTTCTAAGACGGACAAAATCTCAGCTTACGCGTTCATAGCGCGATATACATCGCGCGTTCATTGTCCCAAATTGGCCAAAATGGCAATCTTTAAACCCCAATAACTTTTCGAGAAATGATCAAGGGTAAAATATCTTTTCACATTTAAGCTCAGGACAATAATACTTTTTGAATGATAAATTTGTTTTTGTCAAAAATGGTCAGTTAACAAGTCGAAAATTGCTGAAGAAAAAAAACCCACCCGGAGCACAAATATTCCGTAACTTTCGTATCGAAAGTCGGAACAATAACTGACTGCAGAATTGAAAAAACCTCTAGAACCGACCTCTACAGTACGATTTCATCGCCACGTTCCCTTAAAAGTGTGCTAACACTAGTCACCAATAAAGCAGCTACAAATGTTAATAAATCGTCAAAGCTGCGCAGCAAAAATGCAACTAAAATTAACAATAAACAAGACTGCTCGTATCAGGGCGAAGCCCTGAATGTTCCGACTGTCTTTTAAGGTTCATGGAGCAGTAATAACATAAATATCATTAACAAATTAAAGGTAGCAAAAATAAAACGCATTTTATTTTTCTACAATTTGAAATTTTTTCTATGAAAATCATCACCCCACACGCCATATTAAGTACAAAAGATAAGATTTCGCTCCTTGTAACAAATCCATTATGGCACATAAGCTTCTTTCAACCAATTTGGAACGATTTATAAGACGGATTAAACCTCCGCTTACGCGTTAAGAGTGCGAAATATATCGCGCGTTAATTGTCCCAAATTGGCCAAAATGGCACTCTTTAAACCCACATAACTTTACAAAAAATGATCACAGGTGAAATATCTTTTCAAATTTATGCTCAGGACAACAATACTTTTCGAATGATTTTTAAAAAAATCCCGTCAAAGATGGCTACTTAAAAAGTCGAAATTTGTCTGAAGAAAAAAAAAAACCCACCCCGAGCACAAATATTCCGCAAATTTCGTATCGAAAGTCGGAACAATAAAACTTGTTCTAAGTGCGGCATTGAACCTCTGACCATTCCAGTAGAGTAAGAGTTTCACGTCCTTCCATTTTTGTCACGGTCGCATGACATTCAGCAAACACTAGCCACCAAAAAAGAAGAGAACAGATAATGTGAACTTACTAATGCTACAGATCTTGAATATATAAAAAGTGCCACCAAATGAGAACATTTATTTGCGACTTTTGTTGGGAAAAAATAGATTCATACTAATAAACTACGCTTTCTAGTGTAAGAAGTGAAAACCAGTTATCTTCTGAAAATATGTGCTCAGTTGGTAATTCATTGAAATCCACAAATGACAAATGAACAAAGAATTTGGCAAAATCACTTGAAGGAATTTCGATAGTTACTTTCAGTAGTACACTCTTTGAGTTAAGCTTATCAATGGTGTGAGATTTATCATTGGATTCTAATGCCAACGATTAAGTTTTGATGTCAAAGTTCTGCAATTGCGTTTCATTACAGCTAGTTTTTATTACTATTAAATTCGGTTCCGACTTGTATCCGGTTTCCACTTCTATCTGACTTGTATCCGGATTCCACTACAATTTAGTGCTTCTAAAATATGCCCAGTTTGGCCTCTTAATAAACGGCAACAGCTCGGTGAACCAGTCAAAATTTCGAATTTGAACCGATTCTTGATGCTGCCGAAGACCAGCGGTTTTTGGAGTTTTTAAGAGGTAAATGGAGTTGCTGAGTTCAAATCTATACACCAATAGTTCAGTAGATGTAATAACAAGACCAGCTATTTCCACATATTTGCTGAAATATTTACTGCTTCATTTTCAAATGGCAACTTTTCATCAGCCATTATCTCCCAGTTGTCTTTTTTGACAATCACTCTCTTTAAGTCATTTAAATTCAAGGCAGCACTTTGAAATGGATATGGCTTCGTTAGTACCCCTTTAATCAGTTAATCAGGGGCGGATTTTGAAAGAGATAGTGTTAATTAAATTTGATTACGCTATATCTAAGTTTCTTTAGATAAAAAGGCCTCTTGTTTGATCTTTATTTCTTTTGTTTTTTTTATTTGATATGATGCCATTTATTTATACTTTTTACGGTGCGAGCCTTCAACTAGCCTCTCGTTAGCTTTCTGGTTGCCCTTTCATGAGCTAAACTTCAAATTGTAAATCTTGTTATTCAATGTGAGATTACTCATGATGAACAAATAAATAAATAAATATCAGACTTATGTTAATTAGATAAGAATTATAAAACAATTACATAAAAACAAGGGTAATCTGTTGTTATGTTGCATGATAATACTATTTTTCTGCTTGTTGGAATGGTAATCTTATTTTCGGTTTGTTGGCCCTTCGGCTTGCTGGCCTACCACGGTTTGATATAGATTATGTAATCAAATACTATTCGCACTCTTGACAAATTAATTCGTCTTTTTCGTTAATCAGTCCCATAAACCAGCCAGCAGATGCCTTCGGACAATGCACAAGTACTAAAGAACTCGCATGAGTGTTGTATTATACATCTAATCTTACTTGTACAATCTGTCTCCTGCGTAAAACTTCAGCAGGTCACTAGTGTACAGAATAAGCAGGTCTGGGTCGAGTCCGGAGGCGACGGAGGAGCGGACACTGAGCAGGTCTTTCATCTGCACTGAAGTCACACTCTCAATTCTTTTCACTTCACTCTGTCTGCGAGAGGCGTCCACAAGAGGACTCAAGTTCACTCGTTCTATCATTCTGAAAGAGAGAAACAATAAAAAAAAAAGGTGTTAATAAAGAGTTGACTTGGCTTTAAATTGGCTCTCCTGACAATAATCGATCGTTTGCCTCTTTTCCACTAACCCCCTTCCCCCACATTTGGATCTAAATTTTTAAAAACTACTCAAGGGGTTTCATAATAATGCGATAAAACTATGCATGGTGAACAAAATAACTTTTGTTAGCATACTTTTTAATCGTGAAAATTTTTACTCCACGATAATCATTTTTTTGAACCTCTAAATATAAAAATTAAAGTCCATTTTTGAAAATCACACACGTTTTTTCGCACCTTCTGCAGTTTTGTTATTGCAAAGCGTAATTCACCCATTCAGAAAACGAATTTGGAGTGAACTAAAAAGAAATCAAAAGTGAAACCACTAAAATAATTTAAAATTACTTTTTTTTTCTAAAATTATTATTTTTTTCTATATCGAGAATGGTTTAAAGGTGCGAATAAAGAGGCTTTACATTTAATAAATGTTTACCGATGGAAGGTCCATTGCATTGGATCGAAGAATTTAACTACTTTTCTTGTTCTCCGCTTAATGAGACACCTGAAAACGGGCTATGTTGGCTTAATGGTGTTCTCCCAAACGATTCTAATTTGTATTTATAAATTTTAAATTTTTATAAATAACTTTGTAACTAGATATCGTTTGGAAACAATTTATTATTATTATTAATAAAATCAAAATTTAGCTTGAAAAGATTTTAAGACTCTTTCTGGAAAAACATGCCAAAAAACAAGACCTAATTAAGTGACAAATCACTTCGTTCATTAAGACCTAATAAGCAAATCTATAAAATCTCAAAGTAATTGCAGCTGCAACACTTAATGAAGGGACATAACGTAACCACCATTTTCTTTTTTTACTCGAGCACAAAACAAATCTTTAATAAGTTTTAAAATTAAAAAAGAAATCTTTTTCTAGCTGACTGTTTATATGTGGCTGAACTGACCTGCTCCTGAATGTGTCGACGTACGCTTGGTCTCCCATCTTGTGTTTAAAACCAATAAATGTGTCCACCTCCTTCACTAGCTCAGAGAATGCCTAAAACACAATATTACAGTTAATGCCAAACTTTCCAGCAACTTAAATGGTCAAAATAAGTTTTTCTAGGTTACTTTCCTTCTTTATGTTCTCAAAAACAAAGTTTTTTTTGACTAAAATGAGAGAAAAATTGGCTTCAGAGCAGTTTCGGGTTAATTAATTTCAAATTTGGTGACCGAAAAAATTTCAGATTTGGTGACCGAAAAAATTTCAGATTTGGTGACACAATTTGGCATTAATTATAACTCATCACTAAAGTGCAGGAGCGCACTTTATTTTCAGTTAACAGCTCTGCATTTGCACCAATTATTTAAAATCATTTCCAATATTTCCAGAAAAGTAGTCTTTTTTTGAATGACGTTTTGTCAAAAAAGCCATAAAGTTTCAAAAAGGTAAATAAACTAATGGTTCAAAATTAAAAAATGTAGACTTATATACGGGCGGATCTAGGATTTTCCCGAGGGAGGGGGCAGATTTTCCAAAGAAAAATCTATTTTTCGAGCATTTTTTTTCGGCGCGCGCTGCCCGTTCAAAAATAAAATTAGCGTCCTTAGAAAAATTTTAGGGTACCTTACCAAAAATAGATATCTCAAAATAGTACAAAGGGGATATAGTACTTTGGGTTGGGTCGGTAGGGAGTCGAATCCCTGAGGGGGGGGGGGGCGTCTGCCCCCCTAAATCCGTTACTGTTTATATATATTTGTTGAATTATACTTAATCATTATCATTGTTTTATGAAGGAATAAATTCATCTTCTTCTTCTTCTCAATCTAGCAAAGCTGACTAGACATGCAAGTAAATGACTGAGGTCACCTGGTGAGGGTTGAGTTTGGTGAGAAGACAGTAGAGAGCAGCTAGTATCTCGCAGAAGGCAGACAGGGTGTATCCTTCGGGGGAGGAGAGAGACATGTGTAATATATCCCTCAGAGGGTAGGGTCTCTCGAAGAACTTGCCACTACCTAAACACAACCTCAGTATGTAACATCATCAGTATCCCCTTCTACGTCCGTTTTGACGCTAGAGACTTTGGGCGAATTGCAGTGATAGATTTCACAAACGGAAAACCCAATGTAAGCAAAAATTCTCTCTCTCTCTATCTCTCAAACCAAATCGATTTCTCCAATTCGATCAAAATTCGAAGCAGAGATCGATGTAGCTACATATAACAATAACATCAGTATCTAATTTTGAACCGTCCATTCGAATTCGACGATGAACAGATCGCTGTTGGAAATATCGTCATTGTCCTCATCCCCATAACTTCTCAATAATCAAAGAGTCAACAATTTTACTGAACTATCGAACAGGAAACACGGTTTTCAAACTCTTGATTCAAAATTGGTTGTCAAAACGGTCTCTAAGGAGTCCTCGTGCTTCATGCATTACAGACAGGATATCCAATCTTACTTCCTTATTTAATGAAACGGGAAACTTCATTATAATATAATTATGAAGAACTCTGAACTTCATTATAAAGAATGCACAACGTCACGAAAATCGCACAAAAATTGAACAAAATTACTCATTCGCAACTATAATATGAAAGAAAAAATCGGTTTTTCAAATTTCTAAACTCGATTTTAGTAACATTTTCAGGCACAGTCAGTCTTCAGATATCAAAGAACTTAACTAAAGAAACTTCATTCGATTATGCAAAACATATTTGAAGAAATTTGAAATTGCTGGGTATTTGGATAACTGAAAAAAACACGGCATTTTTTAAACATGAAAAAATTGATCAATTTTTGGAAGAAAAATTAACACGATTTTTGCAAGTGCATACTGACCTAGTCCGACACTTTCTCCGGAACTAGCAGATTTTCCGTGAACAGACAGAACTAGGGGCCAGATGATGGCATTGTGCAGCTCCTTGAGAAGATAAGCGATGCTGTGTCGAACGTCCAGGAAACACACACCTTGCTCACTCAGAGCCCTAAACACAGTAGCTGTATTAGGTTAAATAAGGTGGAAGCTTATGCTATATGTTTAGTATATGATAAGTAAGAACAAACTGGGAGAAATATTTGGTAAGTAACGAAAACTGGAAGTAAATAGAAAAAAAAAGAACTGACTCTGGGTCTGCCTGGTGTGTTTGACGTCGGATGCACAGTTTCAACATGTTCTGAGTCACCGGGCCCATCCTCTCCAGCTGCAACTGGTCGCTACACACCAACTCATGGCACACTTGCAGCAACAATTCAAACACCTATAAAATAAACAACAGTTCTCTCAACAATTGTCGTTGTTCCAGATGTACAAAGATCGAATCTAGGTCATGTCATGACATCTTATTTCATGGATAGTGCGCATAGTTGCTTTTTGAGATTTTCTCGATGTCCCAACGTTGAAAAATAGATGTAGTGATGTTTCAGCACCAGACTTAAATGTATGTAAGAAACGACCTGAAGAAAGAATTTCTATTAGAAGTATCCCTTCCTTTTGTAATATTCTTTTTATTAAATTCATTAGTTTTTTTTTCATACAAGCAACTTTGCACGAGACTATAATAATAACTTTAATCAAAATTGACGTAGAAAAATTGAACTATAAGGGGTGTTTAAAAATCAAGTTAATATTAGATTGAAGCCTTGAAAAGTTTGGGAAAATAATAAGGTTTAAAGTAACCCAGATATATGGGGAGCGAGAGTTGAAACAAGCTGTTGAGTGAAAAACACTGCTTGTATTAGGGCAAAAACCTGAATGTTCCGACTACCTTTTAATTGGTCTTGGATAGTTTTTGCTAATTTAAATATTGGTGAAACAATGAATTTTAGACTGATAATATCAAAATTTAAGTAGTGCAATTTGTGTATGGATTCAATAAAATCAATGAGCTGCCTCAATTGAATTCAGAATGATTTTGTAGTGCGGGATAATAAACACAAAGGCGAAGCTGTGCTTCGCAAACACTTGCAAGAACACGACCACAAAGCAGCTCTATCAAGTGAAATCAGGAAAAGTGGAAATAAGCCTCGAATTAGCGAAAGTTTGGCTACGTGACGGATTCGAATCTGCAAACTTGTGTCTCAAGCAAATTTGAGTCTCATGCACTAATCACGCAGCCACGAATGCTTAAAATCACCAAATAATAGCCACCAATAACGCAGCTAGATATGCTAATAAATTGCCATTTCTATGCAGCAAAAGTAGCATCAAAAACCAAAAGACACAATTTTGCATGTAATAAATTGGAAAGCATAAATTTCATTTAAAAAAATGAGATACATTGAGTTACAAAATTTCTGAAATCGAGCTTTTTATCATTGCACTGCTGTTCGAAACAAATCACTTTTTTCGGTTTATTTGATGAATTAAAAATGCATCAGCTGTGTTAACTTTTTACTAATCAAATGTCAAAGCACTTGATAATGTACTGCAACCACAGCCTACCGATTCAAAAGTGCCACCAAAAGTAGCACTTTTATTTGCGACTTAGGTTGGGAAAAAAAAGAAAGTTCGCACTAATATACTTTGCTTCGCTAGTGTAAACAAGCTGTTTTAGACATACTCATGGTAAGTTACTATTGTGTTGTGCATGTGATCACCCGAGGGACCAGAGTGCTGTAAAAATGGTCTGAATATAAACCACCCAGAGCATATACATATATCTCACTTTCTTCAAAATTCGGAACAACAAAACTGTTCATCAACATCACAAGGATGGCTTTAATAACAAAAATGGAACTTTTTGATAACATTGAAACAAAACTTCAGACCAACTAAGTTCAAATGGTCGCCGACATTTCTAGGCAAGCTTGGCCAGTGATGTCCATTTAAATATGTAAGAACAAAATGAATTATAGTATTTTGTTGAACATTCAAATTGTCAACAAACAAATTTTCCAAAGACCATTTGAACTAAGTTGGTCTAAAGTTTTGTTTCATTGTTATCATAAAGTTCTCTTTTTGTTATTATGGCATTCCTTGTTATGTTGATGAACAGTTTTATTGTTCCGAATTTCGAAGAAAGTGAAAAATATATATGCTCGGGGTGGTTTTTATTCAGACCACTTTTACAAAGCTCAGGTCCCTCGGGTGATCGATCTCTTGATCTGCAGGGTGCTGAGAGTGTACACCACAACAGGAACTTTCAGGTTTTATTGAACATTCAAATTGTCAGCAAAAAAATTTTCCAAGTTTCTTACAACAAACTTTTCCACCAGATGTTTTTTATTCAAAAATAAACTAAGCGTTTCCTATGAATGGTCAAAAGACGGACTGAAAAAATTCGTGAGCACCAAGAACCATATTTATAAAGCGAATGCGACAAAAACAACAAAAATGAACAAAGATAAGTCAAATAATTAAACTAGACCAAGCTCGGATCAAATTTATCAATCGACAGGATAGATATTTGAGAAGATAAGTTTAACCGAGAACCAATGAGCCGAAGAAAGCAAACTAGAATGACTTTTCGTCAATGAATGAAATTTAACCATATCTGTCTATTGATACAAAAACCTGAATTTAACCAAAAGGCTATAAAATGGAAAAAGTTATAGTCAACTTGTCAATTAAAAGTTAATACTCAAGGTTAAATAGAAAAATGAAACATAGCTAACAGACTGTTTTAAAAGCGTCAACGTACGCAAGTAAACAAAAACTAGAAACTAGAAGTTGATCACGTTTTTCGTGACCTTTACACGCTTGATGTTCGGTAAAAGAGTTTGCCTTCCTTTTAACAAAGAAAATGAGCTGAATTTAAAAAGAAATCAAAAGTCAAACCGCGAAAAAGTAAATTTGAGCCTGAACAAAAGATAAATCAGAAAATCAATTTTAATCCAAGACAAATCATAAAAATCCAAAAACTAATGAAAAAATCTTTTAAAAAAATTCAACCGAAAGCCTTGCAACGCTTCCATATTAAATTAACACACGCATTCGCATGAAAGATAGTAAACCATTGGGAAACTAAACCAACATCGCTGCAGTACACAAAAATGAGGAAGCCGGAAGGTCATCAACTACATTCGAAAAAAAAATTAACTACAAATTTTGATCGTTATTCAAGCAATAGTATCAAACATAGATACCAATTTTAAGAGGGAATAAGTTGTGTTTGGAAAAAGTTTGGAAATTAAGCCCACCAAAATGAGACGAACACGGAAGACCAAAAAAATTGAGGAGGTAAAAGAATGTACAGCAAAGAAAAGTACATCCGGGACTTTATCCCCACACCATTGAGACTTCTAGCATGCGATTTATCCCTAGTCAAAGTCTAGTTTCAGATTACAATATTTTCTCGAAAGTGAACAAACAAACAATTGGGAACAGATTTGTTCTTCATACTTAACATGGTAACATCAAGCCTTTACCCATATTAACACGTATAACAAGTGAAGAACACTTGAAAAGTGGGCGAAAGTGGACAATAGCCAACTGTTGTTCATCAGTGCCAAAAATTATCCAATTTTCGGCACTGTGGAACTTTTTTCAGTTTCAGCACTGTTGTACTTTGGCATTGCTGATCGCCTTTTCTCGACAATGGTGATGTCCATTTAATTAAACAATTTAAAACGACGTATATATTTATTTGTCTTACGTATATATACTGTTCGCAGTTCTCGTTGGGACTAATATGCCTGCTGTGGAGCAGAATGTCAAACACAGAGGAGCCCCTGTTCCTGTTGGAGTCGTGGAATAGAAAGTTGTAGATCTGCAGACAGATGTGCACCTACACAAGTCAAATACGAATTAACACCTGTTGTAGAAAAAAATAAGTTCACAAGTTCAGTAATAAATCATGTCCGAAGACCATGCTTTAGACAAATATTTACCTTTTCTCTGTTACAGAGCTTAAACCAATTCTGAGAGGTGACAATGAATTATTTAAAAAAAAATTAGAACAGGTCAGTGCGCTTTGTATGCGTTATATGTCAAACTATGCAAAAATTGCTCTTTGTTTTATGCACATTTAAGCACATTTATATTACAAGAATTCAAAAATAGGAAACATAAAAACCAAAATTTTAAGCAAAATCACAAAATCTCTTCTAATTCCGAAAAACAGCAAAAAGTCCTCTGTTGAGTTTGGCAATTAAAACACGGAAGTGAAATTCCACTTCGTGAGAAAAAGCAAAACTAAACAAAAATAGCCGGTTACTGTGCAAGAAGCACAGAATGTTCCGATCATAATCTTAGAAAAAACCTCAAATTAGTGTTCGGAGTGGTGTGATAAAAGGCTCTGAACGAAAAACTAAAGCTTAGAAATATTCGACAATCATAGTAAAACACAGAAGCGAAGCTGCGCTTCGCACCACTTGCGATACAAAACAAGAAAGAAGCTAAGTCGGAAAAAAATTCAATTAAAATAAAAAATCAGATTACTGTTGAAAGAAAAACTTGCCAATGCAATTGAATGTAAAACTAGCATCGGAAGAAAACTTATCAAGCGGTAATAAAGCCGAAAACACCTTAGCAGGCACGCTTTACGCAGAAAAAATCAACGAGACTTACGACTAATAAAAAGTTAACAAGTCTCCCTCGCCCTCAGCACACACAACCAAAAAACTCGTCAAACGAAACAATATGAGGCCAACTTTCTTGTCAAACGAAACGATATGAGGCCAATAAGCGAATATAATATGAGCCGAAGTCAATTAAGACAGTAAAAGAAAATAAAAATAGCCGCAAAAAAAAATTTTAGGACCAATAAAAAAAATTATTAAGACCTCTCAGCCTCAAACACACAGGCACACATCAATTTTTTTGCTGGTCCAAAGACGCTAAATAAGACCATTAAGACGATATTATAGAAAACCGAAACCAATTAGGCCGAAACAAAACTAAAGATGCTGAATTAGATCTTCGTCATGAAAGTCGTCATGAAAAACTTGAACTATGATTTCCACTTGAACTATGATTTCTAAGATGTGGCAACTAAGCTGACAAAACGTAAGCAGACAAATAATAGACCGACAATTTTTTTCAACGGAAAATTTCCCATTTGAAAAGGTCCTGGTCAGATTCGAACCCAGGCCTTTTGCCGTACCAAGCTAGCTCGTTAACTCCATGCTAAGTGGGTCGGCAACGCTATGAATTTGAAATAATTTATGATACAAAGTACCACTAGAGATGAGTCCAGACGTACGGTAGCGATGAGTCCTATGAACAAAGTTGCTTATGGAAAAAAGTCTAGAACCCGATTGCAATACCCTTGCTTATTGCAAGCTTATGAGAAATTTGAAAAACAAATTTTGCAGAAAAATGACAAAAAATGAAAAAAAATCAAAAAAAGTTTGCAAATTTCAGTAAATTTCGCATATTTCAATAACTTAAAAAAACTCAAAAAAACTAACTTTACTCGAGTCAAACTAAACTATGCCCTACATTACTCTTTTGTAAGCTTTTAAGTTATTACAAGAAGCTATTGTAAGCCTACTCGCTCGCTGTACTCACACGAAAATGCCAAAATTTCAAACCAAAAAAAAGAAAAAAAACTAAAACCTACCCGAATGCGAAGTTCCTCATATTTTTCAAATGGTCAAAACAAAAGCAACTTGCAGACTTATTATAGGAGGACAAGCAATCAAACTTAAATATGAATTTTTGTGAACTTTTTAACGCCATTTTTGGAATAGAAATACTTCAAAAAATCAAAACAATTTCTGCCAAAACTGAAAAAAAACCGTTGCCCGATTTGCCTATTTTACAGTGGCTTTCAAATAAATCTGAATTTCAGGTTTTCTTCAGATCCTTTCATCACAAGACGCGCAAAAAAAACATTTGAAAAAAATTCGCATGAAAAAAATGTTTTTTAAGAATATGCCAGGAAAATTCTGTGCTACTTGCCCAGAAACCGGCTATACTTTTTTGCGTTTGTCTATGTAATCAAAACTTAAAACGCATTTATTTGTTTCCAAAATAGTTTTCGACAAGAAAGAGTTGACCGTTTTAACAACTAACACAAGGGAGAGGCTGCGCTTTGCAAACACAAGCCAGAAAAGGACGAAGAGTAGCTTTATGAAGTTAAATAAGAAAAAATAGAAGTAAGCCTCGAATTTCGCTAATATGTCCGATTCGAACCTGTAACCTTGAGATTTGGAGTGTCACGCGCCATTGAAAATAAACTAACACTCATCTACAACTAAGCCACCATCATGCAGATATAGATGGTAAAAAATTGCCAATGCTAGGCAGCAAAAATGCCACCAAATTTATCAAAACTAGTGCTAAGCGCAGCGTTGAACCCGCAACAAGTAGCTGAGGACTCTCACGTCCTTGCTTCTGAATCACAGACCACCTGACTACCCGCAAACATTAGCAGCCAATAAAGCAGAGAACAGATGCTATAAAATTTTTAATGCTACAGATCGTGATTACGGAAAAGAGCTACCAATTGAGCATTTTTCTTTGCAAGTTAGCTTGGAAAAAGTATAACCATTCCTAACATAGTGCGCCCGTGAGCTCCCCAGTGTAACCCGAACAACAAAAACATAAATGGCAACAAGCAGCCCATAAAGCAAAAAAAAATCGAAAACATGATTTGAAATAAGCTTCGACAAAAACTTCGGTAATTACGGAACTCGATTCCCTGCAGTCTTGATATGCCACTGAGCTGCACCATGAATACAAGCAAAAACAAAGACGCATAAACGAATTTAACAAACAATCAGACCATCAGCAATGAATGCGCAATAAATTAGGCGGATATGGCTCATGCTATTAAAAATAGCCAAATGCAGACTAAACTAAATACAAAAATTGAACACAGAAATGTGGAACGCGCTTAAAACGGAAACCTTCAGATGACCTATTCTAATTGTAAGTCATCTAATTTTAAGGTTGATGCTGCCGAACAAGCATGACAGAATCAATTTTGAATCAAAGCCAATTTTCTTTTTTTTCCGCTATACTCTTCGTAAAATCCGTCCCAAAAACAAATTGGGAGTAAATGATTCAATTGATTATCCAATATCCCGTTGAAAATTTAAAAAAAATAAAAACTTTCAGACCAGTTTTTCTCGACACTCTTTCGCCTTTGGAATTAGAAATAATAGTTTCAGGGTTCTATTATGCTTCCACACATAATTGTGGTTTCTGCATTTTGCAGAGGATCTATGAAAGGCTATCTTGGCTGTCTAAGCATAAATATTTTCTCTTATTTCCCCACATTCCAGGCTGAGTTATTTTTTTGAGCGAAGATTTTTTTGCGACTTAAGGTCGATTTTTGATTCCAGAAGTTTCACGTGGTATCACTAATGCAGCCGAAATTGGTCTGTGGTACACCTGGAGGTTGTGGTACACCTGAAGCTGGAGATCAAGTGAGAGCTCGTCCTTTAACACTATCACTGCCATGGCAGGGGATCGGTTACTTGATCTGACGATCATGAAGTGAACGCCTTCCCACTATGTTAAGTGACACACTATGCTAAGTGCCACACGGCTCCTTCAGTAAAATTCTATGAAAAGCTCAAAAAAAGCGCCATAAAGCCAGTCCTAGGCCTCAACTCCTTCCCATTCCGTGAGAATAGTCGGATCCGATGTTTTGTATACGTTATACGACAAACTGTACAAAAAAACCCTTATACGATATAAGATTATACGAGAGATCAGACTTATACGATAAATTATACAATTATACTAAGCCGATGATTGGCAACTCTTTTTTTGTGAGACAAAGATTTTTTCACTGAGTACAGCAAGACTGATTGATATTAGGGGTGGCTTTTCTTTCTTTCTTTAGCCCATGTTGGACCGGTTCAGCTCATCCGCCTGCAGGCTAAGGAACTTCGCCACTTCAACAGTCCTTATCCACAGTTCTGCGGGAGTATCCAGGGATGGATTTCTGGGGCAGTTGAAAAGGTGGCAACTAGTGTGGGGTGACAATAAACAAAAAGTGGGGAAACATGGTTGTCTGAGCGGGCGAGGTAGGTGTTTAGAAGTCGACTGTAACCCGACCGAAGTTGGGAAAGCTTACAGCGGGTCATTCTAGGAAGGGACTGTTCTGAAGGGTCGATGCTAGGAGGTGGAATACAAATTACTTTTGAGGGAGGGTTTTCTGATAGGAACTTGGTTATTAGGTTTGTAAGGTTGTTTTAAAAAAGGCTTGTAGTAGTTAAATACTAAAAAGGAAACTTCTTCTGAGTCGGTAGGAAACTTCTTCTTTAAAAGCACTGAAAATGGATTGACGAGGTGGTTTGGGGTAAGAGTGATAGAAATGATTTGGATGATGCAAACGATATGTTGAAATTAAAAACTGAGAAGTTAAAAGGGAGTGCTGGTTATTGACATTTAGGATCTCGACTTCACTGTGCAGGTGGTCACTGGAGCTTATTAGAGTTGAGCCAGTGATCAGAAATAGGGCTTGTTTTGGAGCGACCTGCAGGTGATTGATGGAAATTTTGCAGGCGGCATGCACCCAGGCCGGAGATGCATAGTCTAAAATAGGGCGAATTAAAGCTTTGTAGGTTAAAAGTAGGGTCTCCTCAGACTCACGCCAAGAGAAACGTGCTAACGCCTTCAGGACTCCTATCCTGCGTCGAGCCTTGTCAGCAGATCTTTTGTAGTGAGCTGCAAATCTTAGGGTCGGGTCGAAAATAACCCCTAAAATGTTTGGATTTTTAATAAGAGGTAGAGTATCGTTGTTTAAGAAGACTGTTGTCGTTTTGTTAAAATTTTTGTTGTAAGACGAAAGCAAGGTAACTGATCCTTTAGAAGACGCAAATGCTAGCTTACGGGAGATGAAAAAATTAAACAAGTGGTGTAGATAACCATTTAGTGAACGTGATGCTGCCTCGATGTCAGGACTTTGGTCGAAAGGGTGAAAATCGTCAGCGTATGAGGTGAGACGAACATTTTTGAGGGGCGGAGGCGCGTCATAGACGTGAAAGTTGAAACGAGTCGGTGACAATACTGAGACATGGGGAACTCCACAGTAAACAATTCTATGGCGGGATTCTTGGTTGTTGAAATTGGTGGTGGCTTGTCGGCCACAAATAATTGCTCAGCCAACGAACTATGCCTCTTGGCAGCGGTGTATCATGAATGAGTTCCACTATGGTTCTATGACATATCATATCAAATACCTTGGAAGGATCAAGTGTGGCGAGGACAGTACGCAAAGGCGGGCGGTTTTGGTTAAAACCATCGGTGATAAAAAAAAATTCAAGTGAGGAGAGTGCGGTTATGGTGGAGTGAAAAGGGCGGAAACCGTGTTGGTACGTGGCCTTAGGAAGGTGCTTTGTTGAAAAGGGCTGGATGAGCATCTCTAAAGTTTTGACAGCGAGCACAGTAGTAAAATAGGCGTGTAATTTTGAGTTTTTCCACAATTGGTGGATGATTTTTTTCAGACAGCGAAAGGTTAAACAAATGAGTCAAGCAATCAAGTGCAAGCGGTCCGAGGTGTTTAAGGTGAAGATTGAAAAGGCCATCCGGACCGAGTGTTCGTGAGGTTTTGCTATCCGCAATGGCTTGTTTAGTTTGTTGGGCGGAAAATGGGTTATCAGAAAGAGAAAGTCTGGCAATTTTGCGTTTTGTTTTCCTGAAAAACTAGTCAAAGGTATGGGTTCTAGCATTGGTAAATTGCTTATTGGGGTGCCTGGCTTAAATCCAACATCAAAAATTTTTCTTAGAGCAACCACAGGTTTTCCCGCAATAAAATATAATCGAGCAGCAAAAACAATCTAATCAGCCATGAGCGGTTGCTGTAATGAGTAGCGATTTTGATGTCAAATTAAACGATTATACGTTTTTTATACAAAAGCCTAAATATACGATTATACGTAATAAGCTAGTCGGATTGTAAAATTACAAGTTATACGAATTTTTCATTATACGTCAATACAGTGGTCGGAAAAATCAGTCTTTACTGTACTTACTTTCATCAATAGGTAGTCTTGACCCGGAAGAATGCAATCACGACTGAAGCACAGCACTTCGTGGGCAATTTTGAGTAATTGCCTGACTCTGCGAGCCAAAGAAACCACGTTTCCTTTGCTCAGAGCAACCAAGTCAACCGATGAGGCTAGCTGAATGAACTGAACTGCACAGCAAAGCACCCGGTAACAACTCTGCAACAAAATGCAATATAATTCGTCAAAAAATACTTTAAGCTTTTGGTGTAATTTGCCTCTTAATTTCCATATTTGTGAAGCCATGTCACCTGAATAGGTCCATGCTTTAAAAACAAAATAACTTTTATAAGTTGAGATTCGATTTGAGATTATTTGCGATTGCTGAAATACAGTGAAAAAAAAAACGATTCGATGGCCAGTTCGAGGTCGCCTGAAAAAATTCGGTTTGTATCAATTATCCAGCACGAGTGAAAAACCAATATTTGAGCTGCACGTTTTTGCTTCATCGAGAACGGCTGTTGCGGCAATGATTAAGATATACATGCTTTTTGGTCATTTTTTGAGGGTCGCAACTGTCTAAGTCTCCAGCAGCGGGCACCAAACATGGCGGGCTCCGAGACACTGGCCTTCATATCCCTTTCTCTGATATGAAAACTCCCCCCCCCCCCCCCCCCGACAAGCCTCCTTCCCAGCTCCACACTTCTGAAAAATATTTACGTCATTGACGCCTGGCGGCAGCCCACTGTCATCATCATCATCCCCGTCAGCTTGGTCCTCGTCATCCTCCTCTGCTTCTGGGGGATCACTCTGGGCGCTGTCTCTCGTCCCCTTGGAGTGGTGGGTGCTGGTGTATCCAGACTGCAGCCAGAAGTTAATGTTCTCAAACACCACCAGCAGAAAGTCCACATCTCGGCTCTGCATTTGGAAGCCCTTCAAAAATATTTCTGTTTTTATTAGTGATTTCTTTTAAAAAAATGTGAAGGGACTGTTTCCAGATCACATCGTATTAGAACATGGAAAACGAGATAAAGACAAGACTGCCTTTTAAGGTCTATGGAGCACTAATAACATGAGAAAATTTTAAAATCATCCCCCACACACACGCCATATAAAGTACAAATAAATAAATTTCGCTCCTATGAATAAGCTTCCTTCAACCAATTTGGAACGATTTCTAAGACGGATTAAATCTCCGCTTACGCGTTAATAGCGCGAAATATATCGCGCGTTAATTGTCCCAAATTGGCAATCTTTAAACCCCCATAACTTTTACAAAAAAAGATCATCTTTTCAAATTTACGCTCAGGACAACAATACCTTTTGAATGATAATAAAAAAATTTGGTCAAAAATAGCAAGTAAAAAAGTCGAAATTTTTCTGAAAAAAAACCACCCGAGCCCTAATATTCCGTTACTTTCTTTACGAAAGTCTGAACAATAAAATGCACTAGAAAAGCTATTACAATTGCCGTAAGACTGGCTAAAATTATAAGCTGGAGAAACTTGACTAATGGGATTTTTTGTCTACTGAACAAAGCTGCTATATAATCGCTCCGTGCCAGGATACTGAAGAATATAAGTAGATAGTTGTCATGGAGCGCGTTTTGATAAATTGTGAACAACTTCAAAATTTTAAACAACTGTCAAGGCCTTGAAACCACTTCAGCCCCAAAGATCATCCCACTTTTAGGTGACGCCAATTTTGACTTCAACTCGAGCGAAGAATTATTTCAAGTTTTTTTTAGAGGTGAGAAGCAGGTAAAAGGCACTCAAAACTGTAGTTTTTGGAATGAACTTGTCTGGTTTCGAGTATAGGGATTAAAAAAGCTTAGGTCATTAGCACTGCTAAATTTTTGTTCCGACCATTTGAAAAATGGAGAGAAAATTTGTATTCGAGTGTAATTTAGTTTTTTTCTTTGTTTTCCACTCAAAATCAGCTACAACAAATAATCATCGCAATAGGTCGAGTGATATATCATATTAAACCACTTTCAGACGTGATTCGAATTACATTAGAAAAAAATTTTAAAATTTTCTCAGGGTCGTGAAAAACCGGTTTGAAATTTTTGAGTTTTAGTCTAACTTCGAGCAATTAAAGCAAGCCAGCAGGCTTATTATAGAAGTATAAGCCATCAAACTTATTTTAAATTTTTTTGAAGTTTTTTAACGCCATTTTCGAAATGAGAACTTCAAAAATTCAAAACAATTTCTGCAAATACTGAAAAAAAACCCCGCTGAATTGCGTTGCCCGATTTGCCTATTTTACACTGACTTGCCTATTTTACACTGACGCAAAAAAACTAATTTGAAGAAAAAAACATGCAAAAAGTATAGGCAATTTTCAAGAATATGGTCGGAATATTCTGTGCTACTTGCAGAGCAACCGGCTATCTTTTAATTGTTTTCTTGTCTCCTAAATTATATTCTTTTACCACATCCGATGATGTAGCATTACGTACATATGTACAGTTTGTAGTCTGCCCTTACATATACTCAGTGTGACCACCACACCTCCATCTCAATAGATACTAAACAGTGACAAAATAGATACCTGGCAGTCCCTTGGATAGTTACTACAAAGATACCAAAATAGACACTAAAATAGTCACCATAGAGACTAATAGATACCAAAACTACAGGGTCTTATAAGAAAAACAAAATTTAACAAAATAGTCACCATAGAGACTAATAGATACCAAAACTACAGGGTCTTATAAGAAAAACAAAATTTAACAAAATTTTCAACACTAAATTTCACAAAAAATTAACCAGTAAACTGTGTGACAGAATGATCCCGCAAATTCGTTTAACAATATCACTTTTTTCTAAACATAGAGTCAACAATATCGGCAGATTGTTGGTCCCTCTTGTAAACTTCTGCTCTTTGTTCAGCAACTGCAATTTCTCCTTTTTGCTTTCAATTCTTCCTCTGCCTTTTTAACTTTTTCTGCAGTTTTTTTCAAGGACTTTTTCAGCACGTCTGCAGTAGAACGCTTAAAGACTAAAATTTCTTGGCTCAAGCTTTCTTGTGTTTCAACTTGAACAACAAAACTGGTGATCAAGTTGATCTAGGCAAATCATAAATGCACTCAAGAAATAATGTATTAAAATTGTAATAAATGGTTTAAGGAAACGAACCTCATTATCTGCTTGACTTTTTACTTGTTGACATTCTCAATTTGCTTTCATCATTGATTCAATGAGCTCAGAAGGGGATCAAACTTTTCGAAATCGTCGTCGGAGAAAAAAGATCTTATACGTTGAAGAGAACCATATGTGATACTCGACATTCGGGTTGGACCGATCTTCAACTAGCTTCATCTCAGAAAACCCTCTCTCAACTGACATAATCCGAAGATTGATAAGTAGAAAACGTTCAATAAGTTGGTAAAGACAACTGGATTGATTGACACCTTTTTCTCGAAAATTTGCTGAGCGACAAAGTTGCATTGGCGAGATTATCTGCAAGCAAAGAGGTGATTCCATCTTAAACAATCATGTCTGATAATTTGAAATATCGACAAAGTTGTTTGAGCTTTCCACAAGTGTTGGAAGTGAAGATGTCTATAGGTTCAGCTATCACATAGGCTGACCTCGCCAAGTCACTTTCGAGAAAAGGACGGAAACGAGTCAAAAGCAGATCCACCTGACGAATAAAGTAGCTCGACCGAATATGCGAGTTACTTTAAAGTTGTTGATCAGTACTCATTAAGAGTTCTGCTTCGACGAAGCGATGGGCTTTTGAAAAAAAACAACACAGGACTGGAAACTATACCAAATTCAACTGTTAAACCATTCGGAAACAGCTTTGAGTGATAGTTCTTGGCAGTTGGAACAAGTTCTTTACCAGTTCTGTTTAGAACTTGACCAATGCAGTTCAACAGAAGTATAATGTTCTTCTGTGCAAGCATGCTGAGACGGTTTTCCGGTGATACCATTGCTGATATTGATCAGCCTTCCATCAAGGATGCACTTCATCACTAATGTATTATCAGGTACACCTTGCGCCCATGGAAACTTTTGTTTCAATTCATTGCTGGGGTTTTTTAAATTGCGCTTTCCCATTGTTCTCTGAAAGAAGACATTTTTCATAACTAAGTCTACTTCAAAAGGTACACGGAACATTATTCTGGAGAAACAGGGTGTTGAGGACTGAAATTTATTGAATAGATACCAAATAGTTTCCAAACAGATACCAAATCGTCACTATAGATAAAAAAAGACACACCAGTTGATGAAATAGTTACCTAAAAACACCACATCGATACCGGTATCTAATAGATACGATGGTGGTCACACTGCCTATACTACTTGTACCTTTCATTTCCTTCTAAGTAAGACCAATGGAGAGAAAAGAAACTTTGCATACACTGATGATCTGGCTTTGATCTCTGATAACCAATCAAATGCTACCAAATCGATCGCTGAATGAGATAGCAAAATCCTTTGGATTGGCTAAATTAGAAAATTATGTCGAGAAAACTAAAAGTATTGAAATTAACGCCAAAGACAACACTAATGTTATTATCAATGTACTCAGTGAACAGGTTAATCACTTTGAGTACTTCGGCAGCATCAAAGCATCTGATGGCAGCGCCGACAAGGCTATCATTGCTTGCATTTCTAAGACAAGGATAGCAATGCTACGTCTTAGACCGGCCCTGGTGTCAAAAAGATTGGCACTAAGGAACAAGGGTCTCTTCATTGAGACTTTCCTAAAGCCCGTCCTGCTATATTGCTTGGAGACTCAGATGCACTGATCTTCGTAGACTAGAAGCGGTTTACACCGCACTTAAAGAATGTGTTTAAGGCTAGAAACTGGAAATAAAATGAAACTCGAGGAATTGAATGAAAAGGTAAAAACAACGCCAGTCGCACATCAACTATGCAGGAGAAGAGTTCAACTGAATGCTTCCTCCAAAAACATCGTGGTGGATAACTTGAATGATCTACTTGAAGGTGCTAAAGTTTGGCAAAAAGATTAGATTAGGCAGCTTAGAGCTGATCTTGACAACCATAGGCTCAAGACTAAGTGTGACCAGGATAACTGGTTGCACAATCCGACAACCAAACTTAAGTTCACAGACGGTGGAGATTTTAAAGCAAATGCTATCAGCAAAAGGTCACAAACAGTTCAATGTGCTAATGAAAACTGTGGTAGAATGTTTTATAGCAAAAAAGAGATGAACAGGCATCTCAGAGATAATCATTCACAGAACCCTCGGTCCAGACCTCCGATAGTAGAGAAATTGAAACTGATAAAGGAATTGAAAGAACTGTAGAGATCCCCCGACAGCCCAGCAACGGGGGGTCCAAGAAAAGCAAATTCGACTGCCCCCTGTTCGACTGTAACAACACTTATGCCTATGTCAGCGGATGGACTAAGCATATGCAAAACTAAGCATATGCAAAGCCGCATGTGAAACTGATCAGCGCATCAGAACCGACTGTCTCAGCAACCCAACTGAGTCGGCAAAACTTCGCAACAAAGCAAGACACTAGCACAGGTGATGATGTGCTAAAGTTCCGCTCTGCCCTTATCGGTGCTCGGTTATAAAGTCAATGATCAATCACTGTTATGTGAAGCACCGATATTCCTGGGTTAAAGCAAGGGCAATGTCCAAGCCGTGTGACATTCGACCAGAATGTGAAAAATGCAATCTCTGCAGAATTCGGAATTTTAGCAGTAGGCCTTCCGGATTGGTGGTTTTCAAGAACTAAAAGCGTTATTGGAACGTTTAGCCAAACGATGAGGGCTAGAATATTCTAGTATTTTAAAATTTCAAAAATTCGAAAGATGACGTCACATTTCTGAGAAATGCTGAAACGGCCATTTTAACAAAAACGAGAGAGAAAACACAACAACGTTAGTTGCGCTGACGATAACAACGATAATCGTGATTGAAAAACAGCAGCAGATTGCAGGAACAG